AGACATTCGACGATTTTAACATTTCGCGTGGACAATCGATCAGTTTTATGAATAGTTTATAAGTTATAATGTGTGCCTGCCTGAGGATGCCCCCCATGCGGGGCGAAACGTTGCGGATGCGTAGGAACTAATGTTTCGATTTTTTATGGCTGCAAGCTGAATAAATAAGGTAAATTTCATATATATATATATATATTCCCCGATAGGTACCTGGACGCCAAACTGAAATCCTCTCCGGAACTCGAGGTTGGGGATTTGATGATGCGGTTCGCGGCGGACGTGATCGGGGTCTGCGCCCTCGGACTCGACTGCCAGGGGATTGCCGACGAGGAGTCTGAGTTCCGGGCGGCCGGGCGCAGGATGAAACCCCTCAAGTGGAAGTTCTTCGTCAGGCAGGTGCTGCGTTCTATCCATCCAAAGATCATCCCGTGGCTCCGGTGGAAAGCGACGGACAGGAAGGCCGAGGATTTCTTCATGGGGGTCACGCGGGAGGCCATCAAACATCGGGAGGAGAATCAGGATAAACGGACGGACTTCATGCAGCTCTTGATCAACCTCCAACACGAGGAGCAGAAGACGCTTCAGGATGGTGCAGGTGAGTTGGACTACCGTTCGCAACTGGGAACTAAATTTTCTGGCTCGGTTTAGAAACAGCAGGCAGGATATGCTAAGAGCAACGGAGATGGATTTCTGGAGAAGGTCGGCAGGAATTTCTAGGAGAGATCGGGTCCGTAATGATAGAGTGCGTCAGATAATGGAAGTCGAAAATGACATCGTGTTCGACGTCATGACCAGACAGCTTGTCTGGTATGGTCATGTCAATAGGATGACTGAAGAGAGGCTGCCAAAAAAGATGCTTGATTGGGTTCCTCCTGGGAGGAGACGTAGGGGACGCCCAGTGAGAGGTTGGCGACAGGGGGTGTTGAGTGAGATGAGGGAGTGCCAACTTTCTGATGACCTGTGGGAAGACCGAGCTTTGTGGCGATTAGGCGTCGTAAAGCGCCAAAGAGCGCTATAAAAGCGACTCATATGTATGTATGGTTTAGAAACAACGTATGTACCATTAGTTTCCCTTAGAGTCCCTTTATACCCAGAGTTAAGACAACTCGATTATCAGCTGACTGGCAGCCGGCCTTGGCTGGCCATGGAGACCGAAACGAGTGCACCCAAACGAACGATATTGAGAGATAAGGATCAGAAATCCTGCGATGTCTGTCACACAAAACAACAACATCAACAAATTGATCGATTAAAAAGAAAATGAGATTGGTTTGTGAATAATTTCTTAATCTATTTTCATTTTGGACCGATGGAAATAACAATTTACTCTTGATAAACCACAATTAGGTAATATTTTCATTATTCCTGTTCACATTCGAGGTACCGCCATCTTGGTGCACTCGTTTCGGCCTCCATGAGCGAGAACCAATCAGAATTGGATTTTTTTTTTTAGGCCACTTTCAGCCCAACCAAAAGGTAGCCAAAAGTGACTTGTCTTAACTCTGGGTATAAAGGGACTCTAGTTTCCCTATACACGTAGGTGTTTTTACAGATAAGCCAGAAATTTCAGCTCCGAATTGCAAGCTGGAGCCCACATGAAGTAGAACTCTCAGGGACCGTTCAAGTATTACGTAACGCACCCAGGGGAAGGGTGGTTTAAGCCAGCGTTACAGTGCGTTACAAGCGAGAGAGGGAGGTCAGCCCAACATTACGAAACAAATGCGAGGGTTGATTGTTCTAAGGAAAAATAAAATGTGTCATCGATGACCAAGATACGTTTCTCTGAACTAAAAATAACTTCATTTAAATTGAAAAAAAGCCTTTCGCCCCCCGAAAAAATTACTCTCGGATTGTTCTCTTGAAAAGTGCTGCTTGGTCAGCACGTCAGTGAATAGCATCCCTTCTAAAAGCACGCACCACATGTTATTTCTTAAGATTTTTCTGCATTTCAGAACCTCTTTTTACCGACCACGTCGTTGCTGCACATGTGATGATATTTTTCTTAGCCGGCTTCGAGACAGTTTCTTCGGCGGTGAGCAGCTGCTTATACGAGTTGGCATTGAATCCCAGCATCGCCTACAAGCTTCACGCGGAAATAGAACGAGTCCTGGCTGCTCACGGTGGTAAACTCGATTACGACTCGCTCAAAGAGATGCATTACATGGGCACTGTCTTAGAAGGTACTTAAATACAGGGCATTGCAAGGTACAGTAAAAGCTCGTTAAGACGAAATACGGTTAAGACGAAAATCCGCTTAAGATGAAATTTTTTTCGGCCCCTTGACACTTCCATAAGAGTCAATGTAAAAAAAATACGGATAAGACGAAATTTCGAAATTTTGACCTGTAACCAAAGCCGGTTAAGACGAGGAAAAAGTTCCGATTTTCCCCCTGAAATTGGGTAAAAACGACAAAGAAGAGTCAATGCTTAGGGAAAATAGACTCAGTTTTACGTACCTTGACATAAAAAGAGTAGATTGAGAGTAGATCGTGGGTATCCTCTGTTTTGCTGGCTGACTGAGATGCAATCGACAGTTGACAATAAACCGATTTGTGTATTTTAAAAAAAATTCAAAATTTGGATTTCGTATTGTATGAAATTTAAAAATTTAAAACTGATAGATGATAATCTTTCAAAAAGTCATTCACTTAAAATAATCTTTAATTTTAGTTTGTGTGGATTTTGAAACCTGTCCGGATATTAAAACTGCTTCCAAATTTTGGAGGCTGTTGAAAGCTGTATTGTCCACGTCATTTTCCCGCTTATGCCGAAAAATTTCGTCGTGACTGGAGAACAGTTAAGACGAAAAGCCGCTTATGACGAAATTTGTTTCGGTCCCTTCATTTTTCGTCTTAACGAGCTTTTACTGTATTATATTGCAATACTATTGCAAGAAAATTGTTATGTTATTCAGTGGCGTGGCGTGAATGATCGATTGTCGATATCTCGCCATTTGAAGCCATGGTAAAGAATCGATCATTAAGGTGTTCGCTGCGAACACCCTGTTTATCGATCCTTTTTCATAGGTTTAAATGGCATAGCAATCGATATACCGCAAAGCACGCCACGCCTCTGATGTTATTGTTCATCACAATGCCACCGTACTCCGCCCATAATTTTTCTATAAAGGTACTCAAGGACCTTGTATTTTTGTCTCTAATTGAAGGGCTTGAAGAACAAGACGCATGAGTGCAGTTCTTGAAAAAATTGAAGTGTGAATGATTTCCAGTGAAACTAGCTTTAATGCATATTCTCGCTCCCAAATTTCAATTTTTAAGCATCAAGAAGTCAGTTTGAACTTTTTTTCCGCCATAAGGATTCATGTAATTTCGAAACTTCAAACACGTATTTCTCGAAACAGCAAAAACTGCGCACCTAAGCGCCTTGCCCTCGAAACCTCTCAATTGTAACGTTTGTGAAGGGGACTGAAAACCCGAACATTGCATTCGGTATTTTTCTGAGGCCTATAGTTTTATCGCATCTTTTTACGGATTCATCCAATGGTTAAAATCTTACAAGCACTCTAGATTACTGTTAAGATTTAGGTGGAGGTTCAGACTCTTCAGTTTCAAATTGTCTCGCCGGAGCTGACAATATAAAATGGACCACACAATTTATATACATAAATACATAAAAAGTCGCGCAAATTGCTAAAATGTAACTACTGACACAAAATTCCCCAAATGTAGCGCGAAAGTTTTACTTTAGGAAGAAGTTAAATAGCCAGGTCCACCAGGCACCGGGCCTAAACTAATTGGCTGATTGGGAACTCCTCGGCTTGGAGATACAACTTCACCGTTGATAACTAATGGAACAAGAAAGCTATTTTTCCAAGTTACCTATGTGATCATCCCCAGGGCCGGATTTACCTACTTGCCGCCCATGCGCCGCCTGTTTTTTGCCGCCCCCTTCTCATTTGTTTTGAAACATCAATAAAAACCATCAAATGAACGTGCCAGCGGGGGAGGGGTGCATGAGACGCGTTTACTCGTGTTGAACACTTTTTTGGGGAAAACCCTGTCAACACTACTAGCAAAAGTTCACGGAACTTTGCGCGAAAGTTAAGTTTCGTAAACCTATCTTTGTCCGACAAGGCCGTATTCCATTCATCAGAAATGAACGAAAAAATTATGAAAGAACAAACATAAATGTAGGTTAATGATTTTAACTTCCGTCGCCTCGCCGCGCAGACTGCACCGTGTTTGGCGCAATGCGTGAAGTATTCACGCAGTCTTGCAGGCGCTATGCTGTTCATGCTGATCGCCTTGTGTTAGGCGCAATGCGTGCAGTATTCATGCATTCTTGTAGGCGCTATCCGTTTCAAACTGACCGCAACGTGTTTGATGTAATGCGTGAAGTATTCGTGCAGTCTTGTAGGCGCTAATATGTGTTACATGCCGATCGCCGCGCCGAGGGCTTCTCCTTTTCATCTCAAGTCCTCGTCATCATTTTCTCATTAAGTGGCGTCGTTCCAGGCCAAAGTACGTGTTTAGTTTCTCTCTTAACTCGACCGATTAAAAGTTGCTGTGTCTTTTATCACTGAAAGACGACAAAAGTAGAAATTACGATAGTCTCAGAATATGAGAGATTTCGTCGCCTTTTCTCGTTTATAATTATTTTCTCTAAATCCGAATTTATTATTTTATATCTACATTTAAAAAAATTGCAAAATTTGCCGCCCCCTATAGATTTGCCTCCATGGGCCGCGGCCCATGTGGCCATCCCCTTAATCCGGCCCTGATCATCCCATTTCACACGAATCCATATGGATTGCGATGGTAGGAGGAGAAACTTCAATTTTAATTCAGAACTACGTAACTTCTTGAACAATTTCATTTTTCAGAGGGACAAGGAATTGTGTAGCTTCCATAATTTTGTCCTTAAACCTAATATCCTAGCAATTTTGTTCATATACTTGGAAAATTTCATACGAAGTTGACCGATTGGGTATTCTATTGCAAAAATAAAGCAAGCACCGGTATAAAATGTACCCATATGTATGGGTAAATGTACCCATGTGCGACGAGTACATTCTTGGATCATGTATCATTTCGGAATATTCAATGTTTTTATTGCTTCGTGTTTTATTCTCTGTTCCTTTTTTCTTTAAGTGAGGCTTGTTCCTTGTATTGCATGATTATTAAAGAGCTTGCACCTATTATTACAGAAACTCTGCTGCAAATACCCAAATACAGGATTTTTGAAAAGAATATGCACGAAGGCATACGAAATTCCGAACTCATCTCTCCTCATCAAAGAAGGCACCAATGTTCTTATTCCAACTTATAGCCTGCACCACGACCCTCAGTACTTTCCAGAGCCAGAAAAATTTGACCCTGATCGATTCAATGAAGAAAATAGGTCAAACATCGTCCAGGGAGCATATATTCCATTCGGCGATGGTCCTAGGAAATGCATAGGTAAGAAGTATTGCTTCTTTTCGATTAATTATTTGGTTTAATTATTTCATTAGAGCTTGAAATTGTTGACTCTAATTGAAATTTTTGAAGTATTTGGCCTTGTGTTTCCAGCAAAGGACCCAGATTTTGGCTCCAAAACTTGGCCTAAATGCCTCACGTAATGCTTAAGACAAATATAACATAAACCATATACCCAAATTTCAGGGGAAAAAAGAAAAGAAAAAAAAACATAAACATTGCAATTGAGACCCGTACATTTTGACTCAAACATCTGTCGATCACGTGCTTACGAGACCTAAAGATAGGCAAAAGATCAGGTAAAAATAGCGTACCTAAATAGAAAAGCACGAGAATGGTAGTAATACATAGGAGGGTATCCCAAAAGTACCGGGACTGGTTCTGTAACTTCGAAAGTAAGATAGATACAGGCATGATCTTGGTTTCATTTGAAAGATCAACTTAATACCTATCGATTAAAACCAAGGTCAGCTCAATCGAATTAAAATTAACCGAATTATGGCAATTTGAAATCAGTGAGGAAAGTTTACCCCCACGGTTTTTTAGGAAGATTTTTCGCTTACCAGGATTCAAAAAGTTAATATTCGTATCCGCTTTCCTCCGAATCTTCCATAACTTCCTTTTGCTTTTCAAAGTACCGTCCATCAAACCGGATGCACTTTTTTATGCGCTCTTGCCACCTATTCAACATTGTTTTCCTGCATTTTTCCTCTGGAATGGCGTTGAAAAAGTTCTGAACTGCAATCTGGATTTCGGTCTTCGATTCGAATCTTCGTCCGCGAAGCTCCTTTTTAAGCGTAGGAAACATCCAAAAATCACATGGAGCCAAGTCGGGGCTATTAGGGGGGTGCGGGATTGTTTCAACTCCATTTTTACTTATAAAGTCACGTGTTAAGTTCGATGTGTGCGGCCGCGCATTGTCTTGATGGAGTATCCACGAAGCTTTCAAGTCCGGCCGTTTCCGGGAGATGTGCGTTCTCAACTCTTTTAGCACTTTGCAATAATACGCACTGTCAACTGTTTTGTTTGGTGGTACAAAATGTTGATAAATGACACCTCGAAAATCAAAAAACACAATAAGCATCACTTTACAGGCCGATTTTTCGATTTACGGCGATGAAGAATCTTCCTTAAAAACCGTAGGGGTAAACTTTCCTCACTGATTTCAAATGGCCATAACTCGGTCAATTTTTATTCGATTAAGCTGATCTTGGTCTTAATCGATAGGTATTGAGTTGATCCTAAAAATGAGACCAAGATCATGTCTGTATCTATCTTACTTTCGAAGTTACAGAACCAGTCCCGGTACTTTTGGGACACCCTATGTATTCCGGAAGATCTCTATCGCGGCAGATTCCTGTGGCGGTTAGGCGTTGCAGAACGCTCTAGTGCTCTGAAGCGCTCAAAAGCGACTGATACTTACATAATAGTAATATTCTCTTCTTTTTTATTGTTTCCCAATCCAGCGATGAGGTTTGCAATGATGGAAGCCCGGGCTGCTCTGGCGTCGATTATGAGGAAGTACACGGTACACCCAACTTCAAAGACGCAAATTCCTCTCGTTTTTGCCGACGGCAAATCTGGAATACCTCGGCCTGAGAGAGGCATCCATCTAAGATTCCAAGCACGAGGAAGTCAATGCCAATGATTTAGTGGCACACGTTTTTTTTTTTTCAATGGGTCAGTTGCACTGGTCACAGAATCGTTTTTTGATGCTTGATTCTTGCAAATTAGCTAACAATATTAAGTTGATCCGATAGATGCCATATTTTGTGTCAGAACGGCATGCGATATATCGCATCAATTGGTTCCAGTTTTTCAGCCACTCGTCATTTTTCTCCAATTTTGAGATCGCAATCCTGTTGTCAGGAGACTAGAGCACGCACTTACCAATTTTAACAAAGAAATTCAACGTTATAAAGGCGTGGTTTTTTTAGAGAGAAAACATCGCATTCGATACTGATATTGAAACTGCACTCGAATGCAATATTTTCTCTCTAAAAAAACCACGCCTTTATTACGTTGAATTTCTTTGTTAAAATTCGTACGTGAGTGCTTTAGTCTCCTGACAACAGAATTGCGATCTCAAAATTGGAGAAAAATGACGAGTAGCTGAAAAAATGGAACCAATTGATGCGATATATCGCATGCCGTTCTGACTCAAAATATGGCGTCCATCGAATCACCTTAAGATCTGTCGAAACCGCAAAGTTTCTACGCTCAATATTAACCGAGATATCGCCCTTTTAAAATTCGGGTTTTTGACGTCATCCACCGCGGTATTGTGATACCTGTGGTTTCTTACGCCTTGCTTTCATCCAAGTTTCACGCTGAACAACCAATACAAATGTGTGTTTCCCTGATTGATGAGAGCAAGATGGATGAAATCGAGGGTGTCACTACCTCGGTGGATGACGTCGAAAACCCGACTTTTTAAAGGGCGATATCTCGATTAATATTGAACGTAGATAGTTTCGGTTTGGACGGATCTTATTATTTTTAGCTTTTCTACAACATTTACTGAAGCATCAAAACACGATTCTGTGACCAGCACCGCCTGTGACCTTACCATGTCTATTGATTCATTGATGGGAAATAAAAGCAAAGGAAAAAATAATAAAACATTGATCCTGTCATCGTAAGTTGATAAATGTTTGCAAAATAAAGACTGAATTTTAAATTTATTTGACTTATCTCCCATATGTTTCCTTAGGATAGTATGAAAAATGGGCTTTCAGAAGATCCCGAATTTAATCTTGACTCGATTACATCATGACGCCTTATGGATCGGTCCTGTGATCTATATGTTCATCTTCATTTTTCACATGCTCACATGTCAATTTTTGACGTCATTTTAGCATGTACTGTCCCTCTAATTACCTACTTATGTAAGACTTGAAAATAATGACGCACGGTAAAAGCCAATTTTCCCCTTCATACTGTACCCTTCCTTGCAACAGCAGATGGTGGGTCGAATCAATAGAAGTCGGACAACATTTGGAAACGTTAAACGCTTATAACTCCGTTTATACAAAACTTTGAGGTTCTAAAGGTGGTTCCATTGGTTTCCTCGTGAAATTGTTTTCAGTAGCACCACTTGAACTTTAAAATGTGACGAAATAAACATAAAAATTCACAGTTTTTGTCAAAAATTTCATTTCCTACTTCTCTAATGGGCCTGTTGCAAACTTTTGCTAGAGCAAAAATAAGAGTTGTTTCTTATAGATAATGCCTCGAAAATCACGATGAGTGCATCAGCAAAGTCTGAAATGCACTCATAACTTCACAGTCTGCGTAAGAAATTTGGGGTTTTTTGCGCTTCCCGCTTCAAAAACGATACTACGGCACAGGTGAACATTTTGTAAGAGGAGTCGTTCCATCGTCGGCAATAATCATCATGGCCGACGCCAATCCGCCAAAACACGTTTGATGGGACGAGATAACATCTGAACAGCATTAGACCAGATAACAATCGGTGTATTAACGTTCATATTTTCCACGCCCGAATTGGTTGACCTTGAACTCTCCTCGAATTACGCGCGGAACTGCGCGCAAGCGTCGGCCATGATGAATATCGCCGACGATGGAGCGACTCTTCTAACAAAATGTTCACCTGTGCCGTAGTATCGTTTTTGAAGCGGGAAGCTTAAAAAAACGCAAATTTCTTACGCAGATTGTGAAGTTATGAGTGCATTTCAGACTTTGCCGATGCGCTCATCGTGATTTTTGAGGCATTATCTACAAGAAACAACTCTTATTTTTGCTCTAGCAAAAGTTTGCAACAGGTCCATTGGCTCGATTCACTGTGCGGCAGTGCGCTGCTGTAGTCCATTTCGACGGTGTACGTCGGCAATCACATACTCGGTTTGCGACTTCGCAGACCTCCTGTCATACTTTATTTTTTAAAAGGAAAACTATTCAACAGCAATTCGTTAAAACTGCCGTGATTTTTCTTCTCTTTTCGAAGAAAATTCTGCATAAACTTCAAGGAATGATGCCAATTTGTTCTCTTTTAAAAAAATAACATAGAGGAGGAGATTTTCGAACACCGCAAACGAGATATGTGACTGCGGGCTCACGTCGTCGATTTCCCCTGCGGTACCGGAGGCACGTGGTATATCACTCTGACCATTGATAAGAAATCTAAAATCACGCCTAACACAAATGAACAAAGTTGTTGCAAATGAGTGAAAAGGAGAGGTACAGGTATTATTCCTGCTAAAATTTCTGATGATCAAAGGAGGAAGCATTTAACTTAACTAGGACCTTGGAATGAAAGGGGAAAAATTGCCAATTTTGTATTTTAAATAATGGACCACTAGACAAGGTACGAATTTCAGCACTCTGATATATGATCCGTAACCAAAATTTCACGTAGAGCACGATGCGCACAATGAAAATTATCGAAATCAACTCCTCACAACGATATTTAATGATTCTTGATGCGTGAATTCAAACCACCCGCTCATGAAAACTCAATGCTCTACGTGATTCACATCGCGCGCTAAACGTTATCATGACAGTCTCTGCGCGATGTAAAAATCTGGCAACCTCAATCTTGACGCTTTGGCTCAGCTAAAGCAAATTGCCTATAGTTCGAACAACACATGGTGGGAAATGAATATTGCTCGTTTAAGAAACTTGCTGAGACCGTTGTCGTGCGCGATTTGACTCACGTAGAGCTTTGAGTTTCTTGTGAGCGGGCAGTTCAAATTCCTCGTAACCAATGTGAAATGAAAAGGTTAATATCTTCGTTAGGAGTTGGTTTCAGTAATTTTCGTTGCGCGAATCGTGTTCTACGTGAAATTTTGGTTAAGAAACATGTACCGGAATGCTTAAATTCGTACCTTGTCTAGTGATCCAATCTTGTCCGCTACAAATATTCGCTTTTTATTATTTAAGTTTCATTCAATGAAGTTTTCATCGATAGCGGTTTTTGTTTCGATTGAGGGAAATGCTTTCAATCAGTGTCATCCTACAAGATGGGTAAACCGGGAAATAGTGTAAAATTTTTTTTTGTGTCAGGGAAATCAGGGACAACGTCAGGGAATCCGCAAAAATTCGGAATGTCAGGGAATTTTATTCTGCAAGCCATTTTCGTGTCAGAGAAACTGAAAAACGCAAATTTTGCGGAAAGTGTATCGCGAATTTTACTCTCATAATTTTTTTAAATATATTTTTTGAGGGTGGAGGTGTGGCAACACTGGCACACTCTTGCTTCGCAACTTTTCAGCACGACAGTGTTGCCAAATTTGCTCCAATAAAACAGTCATTTCAGGAGATAGTTGCTATTATTCTTCCTTAAAATTTTCAGAACTTCTTGATTATAGCTTATCAACAAATACTATTCAATTTCCAAGGAGAAATATTCTAAAAATGTCAATATATCGGCACATTATCATGCAACGCCAAACTGTTCGCACGACTTTCAACCTTAGCCAAATGCGATTTTTGAAAGTTGGCAGCACTGTTTTCTTCCATTTAAATGTATGTAGAACAATCGATTCTAGATGAGCCTCATCTAAAATCAGTATTTTTAATGGAATTAAATGGAGGGAAAACAGTGTTGGCAACTTTCAAGTAACGGCACTAGCAGCGTTCCTCCCGATATATACATTTTCCCGGGCCCTACCTTTTCAAAGCAAAAATTGAGACGTACATAATTTTCAATGAGAGATGTTTCGAAATATTCTTATTTTATCCTCCGCTTGGCAACGTTCCTCTCGATATTTTCCCTCAGACTTTATATTTTTTAAAGTGAAAATTGAAAAGTTCAAAATTTTCGAAAGGGTGTGTTCCTAAATTTTTTTTTTTTTTTTTTTTTTTTTCTTTCTTTCTTTGAGTTTTGTGGCTTCTATTCCTTTGTATTATTTTGATAGGAATCTACAGCCATCTATAGACAGAGGATTCTTAAAAAATTGTTTTTTGAGTCTAAGGAAAATGTGGCGACGCCTGCTAATTACGGGTTTCATCCTTAGCGCGACAGTGTTTCTTTTGACATTTTTCCTCAGACCTAATTTTTTTTTTTCGAATCCAAAATTGTAACGTTCGAATTTTCAACAAGAAATTTTCCAAAACTTTCCAGAGGATTCGTATGATATCGGAGGGAATTCCCTAACGCCTGCTTACTCATACGCAGTGGCGTGGTGTGTTTTGCGAATCATTGATTGATCTGCCATTTAAACTTACTATGGAAAAAGATCAACAAACATGAAGTTCGCAACGAACACCATGAAAATCGATTCTTTACCATGGCTTCAAATGGGAAAATATCAATAATCGATCATTCACGCCTCATCCGGTGCGGCATTGTTTCTCTCGATATTTTCCTCAGCCCCTATTTTTTTCGAAGAAAAATTGAGACGTTCTTTAGATTAGGAGCGACGATTTAGGAAATGCAACACGAAGCTCTGATTGGTGCATTTCGTCTAAGCAGCAGGCCTCCTTTTCAACCTGAGCCAAATTCCGCTTTCAGGCATGGACAACCAAGATTTCCTGTAGAACTTCAGAGGAACAGTCGTCCTTTCGGTCGGCTCGAAGTCGTATCTCGTAATCAAGAAAGCAAGCGCAGTCTTCATTTCCATGTGAGCGAATCGCATCCCTGGAAAATATACCAAACCGTCAGTAAAAATTGTTCGCTAAACCTTTTTTTTTTTTTTTTTTTTTTTTTTTTTTTTTTTTTTTTTTTTTTAATTGGTATTCAGTAAGTACCAGGTGAGGAGATTAAGTGGTGATTTATTTCATATGTATTTCTGGAGGCAAAATCTTTCACAACTAAGCCCGCTTTTAAATGGTCCAATGAAGGAATTTCAAACGCGCCGCAGTTGCGGGAAAATGATGAGAGTGATGTACTTCTGAGTCAAAGCGTTATCTCCTTTCATTTTTCACTCATGTTTGTTTAAATATAACATGATGTGTCAATTGTTGCTCATTAACTGCAGGTAACATGAATGAGACATCATTCTTTGATTCTGAAGCTAGTTTCGACTTTTGTAGTTTTTTCATGTACGAGGAGAGGAATAGACGCATATTTGACCGAAGTTTTTTATGTATATTCAGTTGCCTGTATCTCTTGCGTTCAACAGACCCACTCAAAATTCCCGTAACCGATGTAAACTGAGAATACTAGGAATCGATATCAGTGATTTTCGTTGTGTAAATGGACGTATATCTGCCAAACGGAACTATTGACGAGTGGAAATATGGGGTGTGCTATAAAAGCTGCATACGAAACAACGTTAAAGTAGCGTTAAAGTGGGCGTGATTCCCTTTGGAGAAACGGAAAAGCCGGATTTTACATTCTGTCAAACGGAACTACGTGCCAACTGAATGCGGCACCCATGAGCCGTGGGAATGGGAAAAGAGCGTTGTGGACAGGGCTCATGAGTTAAAGCCCAGCAAGAGCGACAACGGTGACTGACCCAGTGGGTCAGTGCGCTGGTCACAGAATCGTGTTTTGATTCTTGATTCGTGTGGATTAGCTAAAAATTATAAGATCTATCCAAACAGCAACTCTCTACGTTCAATATTAACCGAGATATTACGCTTTGAAAAGTCCGGGTTTTGACGTCATCCACCACGGTGGTGACACCTGTGGTTTCTTCCACCTCGCTTTCATCCGAGTTTCACGTTGAACGAACAGTGCAAATGAGCATCACATCCAAAGACAAGTCACATCGACTGATGAAAGGAGGGTGGAAGAAACCAAGGTTGTCACTGCCGCGGTGGATGACGTCATAACTGCCGTGATAGCGAAGAGAACCGTAAGTGCAAAAATGAAATTTTGAGAAAACAGGTTCAGAAGCTTCTGACAAGAACATTTAATTGAAAGAAGCCTCCGTCCTTTGTCAAATTGCCACTAATCGTCCGGAAGACTCCTAGAAATCGTATGGATGATTAAAAATCGACTGACTTTATTTCCATTACACAAAAAGGGTATTTTTCATTTTCATGCTAGGTTATATTGCTAGGCAAGACAGCCGTAAGTGCCATTATCCTCTGTATGCTTTCGTGGTTGCGTTTTGGACGCACAACAAACACATTTTCAGGTTGGAAATTGGCAGAAGAGGGCGGCACTTTACTGGAAAGCACTGTTTTCATTGGCTCTCATGCACCTACGGCTGTCCTGAAAAAAACTATGTCATTTTTTGTGCACTTACGGCTTTCTCATACGTCTTGTTTTCATTAAATTAGGATGAATTTTGCTGTTTTAGCTGTCTCAGTAATTTCATCTAAATGAGTTTCGACGAATTTTGAAGAAAACTCGATTTCGAAAATTTTGCACTTACGGCTCGCTCTTCGCTATCACGGCAGATAATCCAAATTTCTCAAAGGGCGATTTCTCGGTTTCTGAACGCAGAAAGTTGCTGTCTGGACAGAGCTTATTATTTTCAGCTGATCTACAAGAATCTAGCACCAAATGATGATTCTGTGACCAGCGCAACTGTTCCATTCCCATTCATTCCAACGGTCCTCATCTAACGATTACACCCTCTATTTCCCACCTGCCTCAGCAAGCTGATTATTGAAACTGATAGACAAAGCTATAGACAAAGACGACAAAAGGGATTTGGAGGGATCCTATTGGTGGAAGCGAGTGGTGGCAATGGACATAGGAGGTAGGTAATAGACTAACTAACGGCAACCCACGAGAGACCCGACAGTTAGTCTATCATTTTCTCCCTTTGTCTATAGGAACCACCCATTTCAACCAATAGGATCGCTCCATACTCCCTATGTCTCCTTTGTCTATGCTTTGTCTATCAATTTCAACAATCGGCCCGCTGGTTCGGTTTGGCAAAAGTACGACCAGATCATGTAATGTTTTACTGGTACGTGACATTGTGTTTAGGAAACATTTAGCAGAACGCTTAGATTCATACCTTATCTACTCCCTAGTAGCAGAACCATAGAAGGAAAAGATAAATATTATGTTCGAAAGTTAATTTTTTTATATAATGCATGCATACAAAAGTGTTAAAATTGAACATTTTTATGTAACCATTATATAAAAAATGTTATAATATTCGTGAGCTTTTCGCGAACATACTAAAAATTCTTCTAATTCGAGAAAAGCTCACGAAAATGATTACCTATTTTTTTATATAATCGTTACATAAAAATGTTCACTCTTAACACTTTCGTATGCATGCGTTATATAAAAAAATAAAAAATTTGTGTATAAAAAAAAGTACCTTATCTAGCTTTTATCATTTTTCATATATTACGGCCAGGTCTGAACTTTGATTTTTTTTTACATAAGCGTTACACGTTTTTTATATAAAACGATCATTTAGATAACAGATATGTTTTTTTTTATACTTTTTTTTAGAAAAACAAAAATTTGTTCTGCTACTAGGGTTGGCAAAAGTACGGCCAGATAATGTAATGTTTTACTGGTACACGTGACATTTTGTTTAGGAAACATTTAGCAGAACGCTCAGATTCATACCTTGTCTACTGCTACTGGTCAATAATTTCCTGGCTGACTTACCCATACAGATCCGAGGTCCGTCGCCGAAAGGTAGATACGTTCCGGGCACGATTTTGTGTTTGTTCTCCTCGTTAAATCTGTCCGGGTCGAATCTCTCCGGATCAGGGAAATATTTCGGGTCTCGGTGCAGTGCATGGGCGGGGATCAAGCACCTGGTCCCCTTTTTAATCGTATATGACAAACTAGACGTTTCTATTTTATAGTCTTCCCCGCAAAGTCTGTCCAGCCAGCCCAGAATGGCGTACTTTCGGAGGGTTTCTAAAACAAAACGACCGGAGTGAGGGCTATATCACTCGCACACTTGGCATTGTCACTCGGCTTTTCTAATGGAGGACGAAAGCTCTATGTAGAGCATAGAGGAAAAAGGGGGTGTTTGCATCTCGAGGATTGTGTACCCTGTGACGTAGGTAGGTACACCCTGGTCAGCAAAATCCGGAATTCGAAGTATGAAAAACGGACCATAACGTCCGATTTTTTCGCTTAAATCAACTCATGATATAATTTTAAACACTTTAAGTAGTATGCATTTCTCCCATAAACTACACCATTTCCAAGAAAATCGATGATAAAAGTCGCCGTGCCGACCTACGTCATCAAAAAAATTCCAAGATGCCCGAAATGCAAACACCTACTTTTGTTTCTATGTATATAGAGTCTCCTGACGGTATGATTAAAGTTCTGTGATTAGGAAACATACTCATAAAACTCATCAGCGTTCAGCGTAGCACAACTTTATGAAGTATAAAATCTTGAAATATCGCGTGAAATATTTCATGGAATTTCAGAACTTCATGAAAGATATTGAAAAATACTGGTTCCTTTTCATGTTTCGCGAAGTGTGAATATTTTGACTTTCTTCCATTTTTATGTGTTTGAGCGCGGGTTGCATACTCTAGCCCCTGAAAATATAAAATACTTCACAGCCTCGTGATTTTCATGAAATATTTCACTGAAATTTCCAATCCTTTATTTCTCTCTTACGTTACATGCTACCCTGAAACTCATAATAAGGAAAGTCTGAACGGATTCTAAGCAAAATTCAAGAGTTGCTTTCCAGAAACTACCTTGCCTGGAATAATGATGATTTCCCAGTGTAAAAAAAAAAAAAAAAAAAAAAAAAAAAAAAAAAAACCAATAATTTTGTTCTCTTTTTTGCCGTAGTTACAATTCTACCTTAAACTGCAGCATTCGTTATTTTTTCTTTTTTCCTTTAATTTTTGCAGTTGGAAGGCAATTTTATTCCTCGCGAGCACTTGTCTTTGAAATAAAAGTGTCGAATTCTGCTATAGGTCTCTGAAAATAGTCGAATTCTACCGTAGGTAGGTTTCTGAAAATAGTCCCTTTATAACGCGATCTGAAGGACATCCTTGAACCCATACCTGAATGGCAATTTAAACCATGTGAGGTATCCCTGGTAAAAATTGGCGATAGGAGCTGCGTTTCAAAATACCATAGGAGTTCTTATGGGCGATTGAAAATCATATAGCTGGCTGTATAGAAAGTGGAAAAAATCATACGGCCGGGCTACACGAAGCGATAAAAAATTATACAGCCGGGCTATAGTTCCTATCGCCGGGCTTTACACTTTATCGCCTGGCTGTTGCTTTTTCGCCATCGGCTATAAAAGGCTATAAGAAATCGAGTAGAAATTATTGTGCTTTGAAAATCCTTAAGTTTGTACGAAATCACCTTAATATTTACAAAACGCACATTATATTTTCCTTCACTACGTATTTTTTTTCATCGATTAAAATGAGAATAACCCATACAGAGTGTGAAAACATTTCAAAGTCATGAGTTGAAAAACGCTGACTCCGCAAGATTAATTATAAGAGCCTAACACAAAGTGGAGCGGCGGCGCACCGGCGCCTACAAACCTAACAGGGATACTTCACGCATTGCGCAATGCGTGAAGTATCCCTGTTAGGTTTGTAGGCGCCCATGCGCGTTCAGCGCTGGCTGCCCGCCCGCCGCAGCGTACCGCGGCGCTTGAAGCAACTATTTCACACCAGAGATATTGCACAGTATCATACGAAATTGAAAGCGCTCCAACATCTTAGGAATGTCAGGCATCCTTCAAAAGAGCGGAGCTTTCCTCGCAAATTAAAACAAGATATTGCGGCTCAAAAAGAGATCGGTAGTCCAAAAACTCACTAAGTCCTAGCATCCGTAATCCCATCCCATCCCATCCCACCTATAATAGTTACCCGACCTATGTCGTCAATTCTTTCGTTCAGACCCATGACTTCAGTCACGGGCTTTCCGCTAGTGTATGTATAAAATTGAAGACATTATGACTTTCCTCTCTCAACTTATATTCGTCTGTAACGATAAACAATGGTACGCGTTTGCTACGGCGCCTTGATACAACTATACAACCTCGACGGATGTCCGTATTGCGTTCAAATAATTGAAGGCGTTTTGACTCCCTGGTCAACTTACCTGTAGTTGATTCAATCGACAATCGCGTATATCGGCGGTGACGGGGACTTGATGCATTTTTTTAAACTTGATGGATGTCCGTATCGCACCGACTGAAGTGCGAAACCACGTACCTGCATTGCGGTGTTTCGAAATTTCCGTTCTTATTTCATCTCTTCCATGAGAAACAATCCAAATTTACGACTTTTAATTTTGAACCAAATCTTCTGCTATCGAATACGAAAAATCATGGAGAATTTAAGTTTTATGTTGACCAGTATCTCGAAGGAAAAATACAATTTCTAAGGAAGTCTGCAACATCGCAAATGGAGAAACGTCGTCTCTCATTTTGCCCAAAAATATGTATCGACGGTGAAACTACCAAACCACGTATCTCGGTTTGCGACGTCGCAGACTTCCTGTCATACTTTATTTTTTAACTGGAAAACTACTTAACGTCCAGTCTTATAAATTTCTGTGATTTTTCCTCCTCGTGCGGAGAAAATTCTGTGAAAATTTCAAGGAATGATATTGATTTGGTCTCCTTCAAAAAAATAAAATGTGAGCGGAGATTTTTAAACGCCGCAAACGAGATACGTGGTTTGGTAGTTTCACCGTCGGTATGTATAAAATTGAAGGCATTATGACTTTCCTCTCTCAACTTGATGGATGTCCCCATCGCACCGACTGAAGTGCGAAACCTCGTATCTCCGGGACCCAGAGTTTCAATCGCATTCCACCTTAAACGTCCGTAATACCAAATTTCCACCATTTTCCAGATGAATAAGGATTGATAAGCATAATACTGCATTTATCCCGTCTAATCTAAGTTCATCCTAATTCGTTTTCCAAGAACGTTTTTAAAAAATAGCATTTCATCAAACTAGAGAAGATTAAATTAACGTCATTTCATTTCGCCTCCAATTTCAGTGTAGGCAACACTAGCTTCCGCGTGGTCGAATAGTGCTATCGTCGTGAAATGGCACGCTCACTCAGGCAAAACAAGCGCCCATGTGGTCGAATAGTGGTACATCATCCCCGAAACAATATCGGCTTAATGCTCCCCGTTATTAAATTAATAATTTTTTATGAAGCATCTAGACCCGTGACTTCAGTCACGGGCTTTCCGCTAGTTAGTAATGTTTAGCATACACTTTATCGCCAGGCTGTTATTGCTTAGACGCCATCGGCTATAAAAGGCTATAAAAAATTGTGTTGCCGGCTATAGGAGCTATTGGAAATCTCACAGCCGGCTGTAGGTCTATTGTATTTTGGATCACAGATTCTACTGCCAATTTTTACCAGGGATCCCTAGGGAAAGGACTCCTTTCCCTAGCCGGCTCCTTTCAAAGGAGCCGGCTGAGGAGTGACTGTAAGTACGGTCAATAACAAATAACAAATTCTTGGTAAAGTTATTAAAACCTCGTCAATCGAACACCAAACTGCCTCATGGAAAAAATCGATATAATTTTGATGTCACTCTGATGTTATTGTGGATCCCTCTAGCGTTACACCGGCTGACGACACATTCGTCTCATTCTAATATCAATCTGACATCATTTTTTTTATATTAGTCCAATAAAACGATGTCTGAGTGTTTGGTGCTGGGCATCACACCGATGTCCTTCTGTTTTACATAAAACACAGAGAAGATATATTCTGACATCTCATTAATGTTAAAATGTATGATGTTGAATGATCCTTTTTTACCCGCGGACTAATTGTTGAAATTGGTAGACTAAGTTATAGACTAAGATGACAAAAAGGTTATGGAGGGATCCTATTGGCGTGTAAGCGGGTGGTTGCAATGGACAAATCAGGTAGGTAAATAGACCAACTAACAGCAACCAACCGAGACTCTTTAGCGAGTCCATCATTTTCTCCCTTAGTATATAAGAACCACCCATTTAAACCAATAGGATCGCTCCATACTCCTTACGTCCTCTTTATCTAACGCTTTGCGTATCAATTTCAACGACCAGCCCACGGGGAAAGGAAGTTCAACATCTGTTAGGCACCATTAGTTAGACTACTACATTTTACAATTAGGAACTACAGCATTTGACTCATCTTAGAAACAACATAAGCGCCATTAGTTTCCTATGCAAATGGGTGTTTCTATCGATGAGCTGTATAGGAATCGTAATTCTATATTGCAAAATAATGCTGTCCAGTTGTCTCTAAGATTGTGCAACTGTTACGCACATGTTGTTGATGTTGAAATTGATCTTACCGTCAATAACGCACTGCAAGTAGGTCATATCTTTGAGACAGTCGTAGGAAATGGTCCCTCCGTTCTTTTCTAAAACAGACTTGACCTCGTTCCTGCATTTTTCCATTATCTCTGGATGCAACGAGAGCTCGTATAAGCAATAGCCCAGCGTGCCAGAGGTCGTGTCAAAACCAGCGACGAACAGCACAAACGCTTGCGATGCTACGATCGACTCCGTCATAAGGGGCTCTGAAACACACATGTGTACTTGAGTACCTGTATAGCGAGAGTATGGACGGATCGCTTCATGGAGAGCTTGGGGCCCAAAAGTGCAGCCACCCTTCTAACCAACTTCTGACACACAAAATTTCACTGCCAGTCTGCAGATTCCAATTCTAACCAAGATGCCCAAGAATGTACAGAAATGAGCATTCTTCCGCAAAATTGAGTAAATCTATGCAAAAACTGAGTCAAACACGTGCTTAATAAACGACGGTTCGTAACAATAATATTAGTAAATCGTATCTGGATAATTGAAATTCATATAGGTTGGCTGCATTCTCGCCGCGACGTTGAGGAGATAGCGCGCAGGCAGGTAGACAGGTGAAGGGTACTGATTAGGATCCCTCAGATGCATCGCACTGATCCTGCTAATCAATGCAATATCATTGGGTTGCAGTGATTGTCAACGCGTTGCGCCGGTCACACGTGAATTTTTGTATTTATTAGTAATTCAATTTTTAAGTCTCTTACAGTGAGTTCGGATTTTTCGCGTGTTTCGCTGTCTTTTTCATTAACAATGGTCGAAGATGATCCATCTGCGCGTTCGCGATCGAAATTATTATTTATTAATTCATCGAAATCATTCATTTTCGTTTAGAAACTCGTTAAAGACTCGAAAATTCAGCTTTAAAATCCAAAACCAATGACCACCGATCCATTTCCGGAAAAAAGGCACATAACGGAAATTTTTAAAAAATTCCTCCCACAATACTGAAAGAAGTGTAAGTTTTACCAATGATCGTTATTCATTCTAGGGTGTATGAGCGTTGATATGAGAGCCCCAGTTCCGATGTATGTCATCATCAGTGCTCAGAAGGTAAGAATGAAAACTTTAAATGCGTTTTTTCGGTATGTGCCCTTTTTCCGGAAAGCTCCTCAATTGGCCATACTCTGTCTATAAAGGTACTCCAGGTTCCACGGCCGTCTGATAGCCAACGGTGCCTAGGTCTTATCAAAGACTGTGGCAGACGCGACATTACAGACTACATGACCACATTGATCATGTAGTCTGCTGGTTTCTACTTGGAATTTTTATATTTTATTCCTATTCTTCCGACTGAAAATAGCTCAGTTATGGGCCGAAACGTCTCGGGTTTTTTGTGTATAATTTTTAGCCTCCGTTTCCCGTTTTTCTCCTATGTTTTTGATATCCCCATTGTCACCATAGAGTACATAGAGTCGTAATGTAATTAGGAGAGCTGGCGCCACTTTTAAGCATTTTCCATGTCCCGAATTCCGAGACTCCTGTGTGACGCCGGGTCACTTTTTTTATACATAATCGATTGTTTGCGATACACGGGTACCAGGCCATCCGATGACGACGACAACAACAACAACAACGAAGGAGATAGGAATTACCACGTATTCCACACCGGCATTTTGGATCGAAAATGTATCGAAAAAGCGACCCGAACTCGGCGCACACCGGGCTCGGAATTCGTTGAGCAGAACATGGCGCCAGCTCTCCCATTTACATTACGACTCTATGTACTCTATGATTGTCACGGGCTGCTGTTCTAGAGATTTTAACCGATGGGGTTACCAGCTTTGTCTTGAGATCGGAGAGCCTGCTGCTCCTGCCGCTGGGCGTTGACGAGGTGCTGGACGATGTCGGTGCGGTTGGCGGTCTCGCGGGCGGGGGCGGCGGCGGCGCCGCGGACGAGGCCGAGGAAGAAGTCGTCCACCGTCTCCGGGATCCTCTTGAGCCGGAGCAAGCGGATGAGGGGCAGCCCCGTGGAGCGCAGGAAGCTCCGCACGGCCGGCCGGTTCGAGTCCTGCGTCGCCGTCCCGCCGCTCACCACACGCCGGAACTCGCTGTCCTCGTTCTGGATCGCGTCGCACCTGCAAATAATACCATCGTAACATAGGCGTAGAATAATTCGTGAAGAGCATAATTACGTACGGGAGTGAGGTCTGGCAATTGAAGAAAAGATCCGAGGATATCTTACGGGCAACCGAAATGGACTTTTGGCGAAGGTCTGCAGGGATCTCGCGGAGAGAGCGCGTTCGTAATGAACGAGTGCGTGAGATAGTTGAGGAAGATATTGTGCACGATATCAAAACCAGGCGGCTGGTTTGGTATGGACATGTGCGGAGAATGGCAGATAGTAGGTTGCCCAGAAAGGTATTTGATTGGGTTCCTCCCGGAAGAAGGCGGCGTGGACGTCCAGTAAAAGGTTGGCGAGAGGGAGTGGAGGGAGAGATCAGACGGTGTAATCTGCCCGATGGTTTGTGGGAGGATCGATTCCGATGGCGATTTGGAGTCGCAGAGCGCTCTAGTGCGCTGAGGTAGCGGCTTGATATGTATGTACATAGGCGTAGCTAGGTCATTTTGCTGGGGGGGGGCCTCCCCCGGAAATTTTTTGAAATTTTAACTCTATTTGAGCGCATCTCGAGGCACTTGTGGCGCTAATCTTCCTGCGATTTCTGCCTAAAAATCACCCAGTTTTATGCATTTTAAGGTTAAAATACTTTGAAATTGCTGCATTCAACAGGTTATTCTATTCAGAGGCATACTCTTATGGGCCACGGCGCACAGTGGATCTAGTCACTCAGAGAGGTCGGACATGAATTTTTGGACTGAAACTGCAAATTTTTACGTTTATTTCGTCACATTTTACATTTTAAGGGGTGCTTCAAGAAGCGCATTTCACGAGAAAACCATTAAAACCACATTTAGAACCTCAACGTTTTGTATAAACGGAGATTTAAGCTTTTAAAGTTTCTAAATTTTGTCCGGCCTCTCCTATTTACCCGATCCAGTGTGCGGCGACAGAGACTTGCCGTTGAAGAAGGTGTTTTGGCACCATCCAGAATTTCTGGGGGGGGGGGCAGATGATACCATTTCCAATTCTGGGGGGGCAGGCCCCCCCTGGCCCCCCTTTCCTACGCCTCTGCATCGTAAGCGTATTTTCCTTGATGAGGGGCTATCCATAAATGAATCGAGACATGCGGAAAGGGCGAAAGTCCAAAAAGTCAATTTTTCAGGGGAAGCAAAAAACTTCCTGTAGGACAAACAATTGGTCGTATTTCTGTCAAACAGAACTATGTGCAGGGGGAAAGATGGGGTGTGCTCGTTAGTGCTCGGGAAATCAGAATGAATGGGAAATATAAAGCGCCAGTGACGAAACCGGCGCACAGAGGATCGAGTCAATAGGAGAGGTCGGACAAATTTCGGAGACTTTAAACGCTCATAACTCCGTTTATACCAAACTTTGAAGTTCTAAAAGTGGTTCCATTGGTTTCCTCGTGAAATTTTCTTCTAAGGGCACCCCTTAGAATTTAAATTATGACAAATTAAACACAATAATTTGCAGTTTCAGTCAAAAACTTCATGTCCGACCATTCTGATTGACTCGGTCCACAGTGCGCCGACGCGTTTCTCCCGATGCCGACTAATTGGATTGCATTTTGCAAAAATGGAACCAAGAGCATTTCAATGTTGCTAGGATTGTGCAACTTAACTTCTTTACAAAAAATTACAGAAATCATTAAAAAAATTGAATTTCCGAAAGTAAATTTCGTCTTGAATTCATAGTTTATTGGGAGTAAGAATGAATCTGGTTTAGATGATCAGTTTCTACTTGCAAGGTGAAAAAATTTGCACAATCTCAGCGACATTGGAATACTTGTGGTTCCTTTTTGCAAAATGCAGTCCAATTCATGAGCCCTGTCCACAACGCTCTAGGTACATGCACAGGTGGGCATGTACGTAAGCCGTACGTAATTTTTACAGGGGGGCAAGGGATGTCTTACGGTGCCTCACAGAGGGGGAGGGAGGTTCTAAAAATGGGAGCAAGTGCCTCACGTAATTTATGGATGACCCCTGATCGGTCGAGCCAAAATGCCGCGATAATGACGATGAGGTCATAATCGGATTGGTATAAACGTTCCTGCCGTGATAGCGAAGAGAGCTGTAAGTGTCAAATTTTCGAAATTGAGTTTCCTTCAAAATCCGTCTAATGTCTTTCAGATGAAATCACCGAAATCGCTAAAACAGCGAAAAAACAGACGCCGCAAAATCTGATTATGGTGCGCGCGAGCGCTCATCACATCATATGGCGCCTTCGACATCCTTGAGATACTTCAAACGCTATACCGTAATACAGACGTTCCGATACACAACTTGCCTATACTGCGCCTGCTGTGGTACAGACCATTCTGCCGTGATAGCGGAGCGAGCCGTGAGGAGCTCTCAAATTTTCGAAATCCAGTTTCCTTCAAACTTCGTTCCATCTCTTTTAGATGAAATCACTGGGACAGCTAAAACAGCAAAATTCATCTTAATTGTATCGAAACCAGACATATGAGAAAGCCGTAAGTGCGTAAAAAATGACGTAGTTTTAGGTGAGACAGCAGTAAGCGACATTATTTCTCCAGAGAGCCAATAAGAACGGTTCTTTCAAGCGAAAGGCCTCCCTTTTCTGCCAATTTCTAACCTGAATATGTGTATGTTGTGTGTCCAAAACGTAACCTCGAAAGCATGCAAAAGATAGCACTTACAGCCGTCGTGCCTAACAATAACATAGCATGAAAATGAGAAATACCCTTTTTATGTAATTGAAACAAAATCGGTCGTTTTTTAAGTATCCAAATGATTTCTAGGTGCCTCTCCGATGATTAGTGGCAATTTGACAAAGAACGGAGGCTTCTTTCAATAAAATAATTTGCTTAGCCGCTATAGTTAGCCTATTTCATCGGCTCTGCGGAGGATTAATATCACTTACCTTCGTTATGCCTAAAAGTACGTCATTTTTTGCGCACTTACGGCTTTCTCATATGTCTCGTTTTGATACAATAGAGAATTTGCAGGTGTCTGAAATTTGATGAATTTCGTGTTTGAGTGGAAACTACTGAGTGCACTGAACACGAGGATACCCTTGGGTCATGAATTGAAAAACTATTGGAGAAGATATGACTAAATGACTTAATCTGCTAAGATACATGCGTTTAAATGGGGAATGCATCAGATGACGCATGATGCGCCAGATGACGTCACTAGGCGTTGCATTTTCTCACTTTTAAATCTATTTTTATACTGTTTCCCATGCCAGAAAAAAGTTATAAGAAATACTGTGAAATCAGCTCTTTAAGCACTTTCAGATGAAGAAATAAAAAATTTGCGTGCAAAGTCTCCATTAAGATGAATGGGCCTGTTGCATGCAAGAGATACAGCCGCGCGAATAGACTTTTTAGGGGTTAAATGACACGAAAATTACGATGGTCTCATTAAAAAAGTCTGAAATACACTCCTTACTGCGCAATTTGCGTTGTTAGGAACGCACTTTTCCAAATTTCCCGCGTCTGAGGGCAGTTTTCTAATCACCGGAAATGAGCAAACGGCGGGTTCGGCGATTTCCGGAAGATGCCGAGTCGTTGTTGTTATTTTTTCCTTCAGTTTGTTTACAAACTCAACGTGATCTCTTATAGTGGTCCATGTACGATTGTACGCTTTATGTGGTAACGAAATCGATCAACTTTTAAATATCCAACGAAATCCTTCTACATTTCATTTCACGATATCACGAGCTCCGATTTTTAAGTTATGTTGTCAGTTTTAGTTGACCGGAAATAGCCGCGAGTTGCCGTTAGAAAACTGCCCCCAGACGCGGGAAATTTGAAAAAACGCGTTCCTAACAACGCAAATTGCGCAGTAAGGAGTGTATTTCAGACTTTTTTAATGTGACCATCGTAATTTTCGTGTTATTTAACCTCTAAAAAGTCTATTCGCACGGCTGTATCTCTTGCATGCAACAGGCCCATTTTGCTGTTTTCAGTGATTTCATCTAAAAGAGATGAAACGAAGTTTGAAGGAAACTCGATTTCGAACATTTGAGAGCTCCGCTATGACGTCATCATGGTCTACATCACAGCATCAGCCTGATTGTTGATATTTATGTCGCCACGACAAGAATCGAAAATCGATATACTACACGGCGCAGATAGGGCTAGGTATTTCTTGTCTTATCGTGCCGACATAGCCAGTTAAAGTTTCAATAATCCGGCTGCAGGCGCGGTATTGGCAATTTTCGTATCGAATCGTATGTGTAACGGTGTAGCGTTTGAAGCATCTCAAGGATGTCGAAGGCGCCATATGGTGTGAAGCGAGCGAGCGCACACCATAATCCAACTTTGTGGCGTCTGCTTCCTTTCCGAATCGCTTTCCTGTTTGCTGAAAACTGGGCGATGTTGATATAAGTGTATAATTAAATGCAGTTGCGCTAATGTTTTGTCGATATTATGTAGCGTAGACTGCGCTTATTTTTTGTGTTAAAATTATGTACTTCGACCGCGCAATTTTCTGATGCCATTCCTTCAACCGCCCTGATCTCCCGCTCTTCCTCCCCCTCAAAATTACCTCATTGACTGCGCTGTGTGATAGTGCGAAGGGAAAATGCACTTTGGTGTAGGTGAAAGCGTACACTGAGGAACTTTCTGCACCCCTGTGTAACTGTCATGAAGCAAATAGGTCCACCATAGGCCTTGTCTCCACGGGACGTTACATGGGATTTGTCCCAGGGAAAAATGTCTCTTGCGAAGCCCAGAAGTTTCATTCCTGCGATTCGAACTTGGGAAAAATCCCGTGAAACGTCCCTTGGAGGCAAGGCGCTAGAGTGGTTCGATTGGGAATTAATCAATAGATTTATCATAATGTCTTTCAATTTGATTAATTAATTGATTGTTAAACTTTGGATTAACTGTTCAATCGATTTTTCGATTATTTACTACCTCAACTTGTTATTTAACCCCGTTTGTGGTTTTGCATTAGATAATCATGGCTTTGAGCTCGTTGATTTTTGCTGCCTTGGACCGGACAACAGCGGAATGGATAGTTCCAGAAATTTAAATAGCGTTTACCCAGAACAATAAGTAAAATTATCTCAAGTACTTAAGATAAACATTTCGCGAATTTGTAGGTCATCAATGCAAAATTGCCTTCACGTTTATGCTCGTTTCCCTGGGATGTGAAATTGCTGCGTTCGAGTAAGTTTTTTTGTAACAGTTTTTTTTGTAACAGTTTTGTAACACCTTTAAGTCAAGTGTTTTCACTTGTAAACACAATGGGTACATGATGCATGAACATCTCTAGACGTGACGCTAGTTCGGTTGTTGCCCGCTAGGGGGCGACCCTTATCCGAGTCAGGACAATACACCAATCGCTCCCGGCGAGAAGGAGATTGGACAAATGGTTTGCATTTTGCAAAAAGGAACCACTAGCATTGGAATGATGCTAAGATTGTGCAACTTCATCCTTTGCAATAAAATTGCGGAAATCGTGAAAAACTATGAAATTTAGATGGTAAGTTTTGTCTTAAATTTACAGTTTTTAGCGAGTAAAATAGAAACTATTAATGGATAATCGGGTTTTTCCTCCAAGACAAAAGAAGTTGCACAATCTTAGCAACATTGCAATGCTAGTGGTTCCTTTTTGCAAAATGCAATCCAAATGAGAGTCGAGTATGAAAATCTTTTCATCCTTTTTGGTTGTTCTTGTGTCGAAGCGGGCCTAAGAGACCTCGAAGCGCCCACTGGGGGTTGGGCCGCGCAGCGGTCAGGGGGCATAGTCATCTAGTAATATATAAAGAATTTATTCTTGCATGCAACTTCCTGATATGTTAAGTTAATTGATTAGTCTTTTAAACTCTTACTACTGATACTAACTCGAGTCCGAAACCACAGGTGCCAATCACGTCCAGCGCAAACTTGGACATGACTTCTCTTATCTCTATCTGGTCCCTTGTTTCGATCACTTGATCCAGATATTTACCGAGAGCATCCCTGCATTCGAGCATGAGCGGCCACATCATTTTCAGTTTCTGCGGAGTGAAAATAGGCGCCATTTTTTGCCGCACCCCCTTCCACCTGAAAGAAACAAAACGCATTAGTTCAAACTACTTTTGCGAACACGGAAGTACTTTCCTTGGTTCATTGCAGTAACAGAGAATGTGCTGTCAGTTGCCCCTCTCAGATAAGTGCCCCTTTCTGTGTGGGTGTTTGGGGGTTTTAAGTTTGCTTTAAAAACAAAGCACGATAGATCTTCAAGAATTCATTTTAAATCAATATTCGCTGAAATTGCGGCTACCGTAAAATGCACGGAAAAATACACGCGCAATAAATCCCTTCTTCGTAAATCCTAAACGCTATCGTATAATACACACCCACACTGCCGTGCTAAGGAAGAACGCCGTACGAACATTCGAGAGTTGCCACATTTCTTTTAATTAAATGTTTATTTTCGAGAAAATTTATGAAAATTTTTCCTTGAAATTTTCAGGGACCTTGGGTGAAATTGCGAGCAAAATTATTTGAACTACTACGGGGAAAATTTTGATAAGTTTACCAGTGAATTCCTGTTTTATCAAAGGAAATTTGGCAACGCCTGAAGGTCTAAACGGCGTTTTTCCATAGCATGGCCATACGAGTCATTTTCAGAGGGCTGTCTGGCGTTTTGCTACACCTAACTTCCACAACCCCTTACTCCTCACCTCGGGAGTTGGCACCCCCTCATTTCTTATAAAACCCCTTGTCACCACCGTTTTACTGGGTTTTTTCCTGAGCGGCAAGGTTTTTTCTTCTTTTTTCTTTTTTTCTTCTTTTCGTGTTGAAGAAAAAAAATGTTCAACCGTTGCTATCAAGATAAAATGGAGATGTTGCACGTGTGAGGAATTTACGATTTGACTGTTGATTCTTATGTAAAAGTTCGCGAGAAACACGATGGTGCCACTGGTTTTCTCTGAAATCAACTCTCAAGCTCAAAAAAAGCTCTCAAGTTGAGGTCAAAATGGCCGGGTATATCCCACGCTATCCTGAGAGTCCACCTCTACATCAAGACAAACTCTCCACGCTAATGCCGCAATCACACGCTGAATTTAGCGGCTGAATGTGGAAGTCAACAGTCATCGCCCAACGGCTGAAATTTAGCAAATTCGAGTTGTTTTCATCCAGATGTGTATCAAATCTATTCGAATAGTTCAAACAAATTCAAAATTGCTCCGATGGTTGCTAAGAATCGTTGCTGAATTTTGCGCGTCACGCGCAAAATTCAGGCATCGGGCCGATGACCTCCACATTCAAGCCACATTCAGCGTGTGATTGCGGCAAAAAATAGGGAGCAAATACATTGACAGGGCTGCCACCTTATTCGGGGACTCTGAAACTGAAATCACGGCAACCCTGCTAATATAATGTATTTGCTCCCTATCTTTGCATGGAGAGTTTGTCTTGATGTAGAGGTGGACTCTCAGGATAGCGCGGGGTATACCCGGCAATTTTGGCCTCAACTTGAGAACTTTTTTTGAGCTTGAAGTTGATTTCAGAGAAAACCAGTGGCACCATCGTGTTCCTCGCGAACTTTTACATAAGAACCCTGCTAAAAATGATGAGTAGGCTATTCAGAATTCGCCGACTCGCATGAGTAGAATTTCCTACTCATATGAGTAGAAATCCTACTCATATGAGTAGCAATCCTACTCATATCACTAGAATATTCTTCTCATAAGAGTAGAAGAGTTCAACTCATATGAATTCAATTTTTTTCATTTTTCAGAAGGGGTGTTCTTGACCAGGAGACACCCAAGTAATATGTAAATTTGAAAAATAAGAACATTTTATTCTTATAATTTTTTTGATGCGGTGACTAGTTTCTGAGATATCGGACACGGTAGATTCAACGCTGAACTCATGCGAGTTAAAATCTCTAGTCATACGAGTTGGAATCTCTAGTCATATGAGTCGGCGAAAAGTGAATACAGAAATTCTGCTCATATGAGTTAAATTCTATTCATATAAGTTGAAATTCTATTCATATGAGTTGAAATTCTATTCATATGAATTGAAATTCTATTCATATAACTTTGATTTTCTACTCATTTGTACTCACCATTTTTAGCAGGGAGTCAACAGTCAAATCGCTAATTCCTCACACGTGCAACATCACCATTCTCCACTAACCTCTCGTCATCGATGTTAAAGACATGCTGGTTCACGGGGTCCAAATCCGGGAAGATCTGCATACCATGATTGACGAAGTAAGGGAAATCCTTGATGAGGATTTTCCGGATGATTTCGGGGTCTCGGATCATGAGGTAGGGCCTGGACATTTTGTAAAAGCCGCCGACGGGGTGCGGCGCCAGCTCGTCGTAGAACCGCTTGATAGTGTCCACTTTGTGGACGGGATAAAATACTGAGTCCCGAGGGAATGGGATGTACGGGAGTCCCGACTTGGACCAGTGCGTGTAGTTCCTCCAGTAGTTGTACACCAGGTACAACAACAGGACCGTCACTAGGTAAGCGATTGTCGGAAGGAGAAGCTCGAGAATCATGTTGATCGATGATGTTTACTGAGACTGTTTGATGGAGTTCACTGTGACTGTCTACTGAAAAATTTCAGGGAGAGAAAAAAAGAAAATGAAAAAAAACATGAACAAGAAAAAAAGCAAGGTAAATCTAACTGCAGGCTGGTTTGTTGAAATTGATAGACAAAGGAGACAAAAGAGATATGAAGGGATTCTATTAGTGGACAGGGCCGTGTTAAGGGGGTGGCCACATGGGCCGCGGCCCATGGCGGCAAATTTAGGGGACGGTAAATTTTGCAATTTTTTTAACTGTAGGTATAAAAAAAATCGGATTCAGAAAAAAAATTATTAATGAGAAAAGGGGACAAAATCTCTCTTTCCTGAGAGTATAGTAATTTCTAATTTTATTGTTTTTCGGTGCATGATGAAAGAGGCAGCGTCTTTAATTAGTCGAGTTAAGAGAGGAACTAAACACGCAATTTGGCCTGGAGCTCAGCGCAGAGAGGAATGATGACGAGGACTTGAAATGAACAGGACAAGCCCTCGGCACGGCGCGGCGGTCGATATGTAACACATATTGGCGCCTACAAGACTGCATGAATACTTCACCCATTGCGTCAAACACCGTGCGGTCAGGAGCGGTTGGCGTGAAACGCGTAACGCCTACAAGACTGCAGGAATACTTCACGCATTGCGCCAAACACAGTGCGATCAGCCCGGCGCGGCGTAGCGGCGGACGTTAAAAAGTATTAAACAACATTTATGTTTGTTCTTTAAATTTTTCTGTTCATTTCTGATTAATGAAGGACCTTATCTACACATAGATATGTTTACGGAACTTAACTTTCGCACAAAGTTCCGTGAAATTTTGCTAGTAGTGTTAACAGGGCTTTCGCAAAAAATGTATCCAACCCAAGTAGGTAAACGCGTCTTACGCACCCCTCCCCCTCCGGCACGTTCACTTGATGGTTTTCATTGATTTTCCAAAACGAATGAGAAGGGGGCGGCAAGTAGGTAAATCCGGCCCTGTTGGTGGAAGCAGTTGGTTGCAATGGACAAAGAAGGTAGGTAATAAATATTAACTAACGGCGCAACCCACGATAGACCCTATAGTTAGTCTATCATTTACCCCCTTAGTCTACAAGAACCATCCATGCCAACCAATAGGATCGCTCCATACTCCCTACGTCTTATTTGTCTATTGCTTTTTGTCTATTAATTTCAACAATCAGCCTGCACAGCCGCGGGGCGAGATTTAAACAACACCTTTGTGCTTTTGGCCGAAAATAAGTATAACTGTCTGCTGTTGATAAAATGAACAAATTAAATGCAAGCATATCCTTTAGAATAAAATGTGTTAGCTGTCAGTGAGATGTCTGTCCAGTCTGTCTGTTTTTATCAACAGCAGGGTAATATTCGTTTTCAGCCAAAATTGCAAGACTGTTGAAATTCAAATTTTGAGGTGCGGCTGGAGCAAAAATCCGCGTCCCGGCCAAAAGGAACAGTAATTAAAATAATGGATAAAAGCACGTATCTATACAGGGTGTTCAAGACCACCCGTACCAGGCTCCCCCTCGAATATTTCTCTCGGAATGGAGCTCTTGAGCGCGTCAGGAATTGGCGATTTAAGCACTGATTCGCAGGTAAAATTTTGCGAGAAACACGATGGTGCCACTAATTTTCTCTGAAACAAACCCTAAAACTCAAAATAAGCTCTCAAATTTGAGACCGTAATGGCGGGGATATCTCATAAGAGTCCATCTCTACATCAAATAAAAAACTGTTTCCTATGTAAAATTTCCATGAATGTTTTTTTTTCTTTTTTTCTTTTTTTTTTGTCCAAAATTCTGCTAATTTGACATAACATCTGCTTAAAGTAGTGAAATCTTCAGTTACAGACGCTAAATGGTTTATCGGTGAAAAATCCACTCGCGGGTGAAAATTTTGCAGGGTTGAAATCCACTTACATTCTTTCGTGTAAGAAACGATAAATATAGGTGAGGACTATACGACTTTCTATTAAGAACCTTCGTGCCGTCGTTATTTTCACAAGGGCATGAAAACTCCTCTTTCTCATCTGAAGCCTCATTTGCCAAGATTTTACGAGACACGGACTACATTTTGCAATTAGGAATTACAATTCCTGGTTCAATTTAGAAACAACGTATGAGCCATCAGTTATCTTATATGCACAAAGGTGTTTTTACAGACAAGCCAGAAACTGTAGTTCCTAATTGCAAAATGTAGTTCGGATAAGGATCTCTGCCAACCTCTTTCGATCCGTGGCGACCTCTTTTCATCAACCAAAAAAATGAATAAAAAAGAAATTATCACTTACGAGTCAATCACAGTCTACTTTTTTTCCAGAATTAACGTTCTTCTCCGTGGTCCGTCGCAGACAAATAAAACAACACCAGCACAGCAATAAAAACGAATTGATTTATGAGGATAAATTACTTAATTCACTGCAATAGCAACAGGCACGTGAGTATAAGAAGTCTTTAATGCACGTGAAGTAGCCTCCAACATAAAAATATACTGAACAAAGTGGTTATCTCTCTGTGTGAAGGGAGAAAACAGAGATATGACCGTATCTACTTTTTAAGTAGGCGACATCTGAGTATGCAAGTTATCTTGAAGTTAAACTAACGGACTTTTTATTTATACTTTCAAAATACAATCTTTATTTGCGATGTGATTACGTGGTTGTTTCTGCTTTGAGTGCTCGGGATTATTTTGCGACATGGAAAGCGCTCCTTGCACGGAGATGTTGGAAAAAGGGTCAATTGAGAAGTCATTAAGAATTTAAGGTCAGTGGGACAATTAAATGAATTAAATTAACTATATCTACCCGGGCTCATGAGAAAATGCCTAGTTTGACTATTATCCTGTGACATTTGTTACAGGGCTGACCAAGAGTAATAACCATGTGGCAAATTTAAACGCATTAAACATAATTCTTGATAACTAGAGTTATAATAATCACTCATTATAATTTGATTTTTGGTGGCTTCACATTTTTGAAAATGAAATTTGGCTCATTTCAGCAGGGCCGGATTTACCTACTTGCCGCCCATGGGCCGCTAGTATTCTGCCGCCCCCTTCTCATTCGTTTTGAAACATCAATAAAAACCATCAAATGAACGTGCCAGCTGGGGAGGAGTGCATAAGACGCGTTTACTCGTGTTGAACACATTTTTTGGGAAGGCCCTGTCAACACTACTAGCAAAATTTCACGGAACTTTGCTCTGAAGTTAAGTTTCGTGAACCTATTTCTGTGTGGACAAGGCCTTCCATTCATAAGAAATGAACGAAAAAGTTATGGAAGAACAACCATAAATGTGGATTAATGATTTTAACTTCCGCCGCCGCGCCTCGCAGACCGCATTGTGTTTGACGCAATGCGTGAAGTATTCACGCAGTCTTGTAGGCGCTATCCGTCTCACGCTGCTGTCCGCAATGACCGCATTGTGTTTGATGCAATGCGTGAAGTATTCGTGCAGTCTTGTAGGCGCTATTATGTGTTACATGCCAAGTCATTTTCATCTCAAGTCCTCGTCATTATTTCTCTCTAGGTAAGTCGCGCCGTTCCAGGCCAAATGCCGACCGCCGCGCCGCTCCGCTCCAGGTTAAATTGCGTGTTTGGTTTCTCTCTTAACTCGACTAATTACAGGTGCTGTCTCTTGTATCACTGAAAGATGACAAAAGTAGAAATTACTATACTCTCAGAAAATTAGAGATTTTGTCGCCTTTTCTCGTTTGTAATTTTTGTTTCAAAATCCGATTTTTTTTTTTTTTTTTTTTTTTTNTTTTTTTTTTTTTTTTTTTTTTTTTTTTTTTTTTTTTTTTTTTTTTTTTTTTTTTTTTTTTATACCTACATTTAAAAAAATTGCAAAATTTGCCGCCCCCTATAGATTTGAAGCCATGGGCCCATGTGGCCACTGGCCACCCCCTTAATCCGGCCCTGCATTTCAGTAGCCAACGTGTAGGCCATTAGTTTTCCTGTGCAGATAGGTGATTATGAGAGAGAGTCAGAAATGCATGCCATTCTAACAATCTTATAGTTCCTCTAAGTATAATTACGTCCAAATATATTGCTTCTGGTGATCCATGGCCCTTCTCTCCGTAGAAGGTAGCAATATTTTAAAGGAGGAGAGCGAGAAAGAGAGAGGGCAAAAAATTATTCCTCACAAATTTTCTCTAATATTATAGTTTCACGCGAACGATGACTAACGATAAAATCCACAGGGGGAAAAAAATATCACAATCCCAACTATACTCCTGGCTAGTTTTGGCGCCAGATATGAGAATAGTTGCACCAGTTAGAAGCACCTATACGATTGAGTCTACCAAAAACGTAGTTGGATCAACCATACCTCTGGCTAGAGTCCCTTTATACCCAGAGTTAAGACAACTCACTTTTGGTTCGGCTGAAAGTGGCCTAAAAAAAATCCAATTCTGATTGGTTCTCGCTCATGGAGGCCGAAACGAGTGCACCAAGATGGCGGTACCTCGAATGTGAACAAGAATAATGAAAATATCACCTAATTGTGGTTTATCAAGAGTAAATTGTCATTTCCATCGGTCCAAAATGAAAAGAGATTAAGAAATTATTCACAAACCAATCTCATTTTCTTTTTAATTGATCAATTTGTTGATGTTGTTGTTTTTGTGTGACAGACATCGCAGGATTCCTGATCCTTATCCCTCAATATCGTTCGTTTGGGTGCACTCGTTTCGGCCTCCATGGCCAGCCAAGGCCGGCTGCCAGTCAGCTGATAATCGAGTTGTCTTAACTCTGGGTATAAAGGGACTCTACCTCTGGCTAGTGCATCTACTCGTATATCTGGCACCAAAATCAGCCAGGAGTTTAGCTGGGATTGTGATAATTTTTTTCCACTGCAGTTGCTACTTCCCCCTGCCCTATATACTGCATTTTGTGATCCATAACCCCAGGCCCCTTTCTCCATAGAATGTCGCAATATTTTAAAGACGGGCAGGGGGGGGGGGGAGATTAGGAGAGAGCGTAAAAAATCAATGCACACAAATTTACTTTCATTTCACAGTTTATAACCACTAACGATACATTCCAGCTGTTGACGAGTCTCTCAAGCTTATCACACGACAAAAGTTCGGGATAGATGTGTAGTTTTCTTCAAACCGGATCCCGGAAGTTAGCAGCCTTCCGTTTTCGCTCCATTTAAACCAATAGCCTGTGGATTGCATTTTGCAGACAGGAACCACTAGCATTGCAATGTTGCTAAGATTGTGCAACTTCTTTTGTCTTGGATGAAAACCCCGATTATCCATTAATAGTTTCTATTTTACTCGCTAAAAACTGTAAATTTAAGACAAAAATTACCATCTAAATTTCATAGTTTTTCACGATTTCCGCAATTTTATTGCAAAAGATGAAGTTGCACAATCTTAGCATCATTCCTTTTTGCAAAATGCAATCCCTGTGTCACACTATCAAAATACTCCATCAAAATTTCCAGGTCAAGTGCTGCGATTGATCCAAGTCATCGAATAAGCCAATCACAACACCTGACCTTGATATTTTGATGGCTAACTTTGACAGTGTGACACAGGCTTATGAAAATGGATCGGTTATCAGAGGGGCGAGCGGATCGATTATCGAATCGTTATCGAATGAATTTGATCGATAGATCTTTATCTTGACAATGCTTTTTATCGATCAAGGTCGTTGGATAACGATTCAACAATCGACTCACCGGTGTTCCGACAGGAATCGATTATTCAACATAGTTCAAATTAGAGTACCTTTATAGACAGAGTATGGCCATTTCTGTTCCGGTTTTTCATTGGTCGCGTGAGAATAGGCTGGCACGATGTTCATACGGCCGTAAATAAACAAACAAGATGGCTGTTATCAGCAAGCAAGATTGAGGTTATGCACATCTTACATCCTCCTGTGATAAATGTGAAAGGCGATTTAACAATGTTTTCATGTGTTTTTCGTGTGTTTTTCGTAGATATGCTAGTTTAGATTGTTACCGCCGTATCATTGAAATTTTTGTCAAATTTTAGCTTCTTATCGATGTTACGGTGAGCAGCCATCTTGTTTGATTATTTACGGCCGTAAGAGCATCATGAAGCCTAAAAGCTCGTTGACCCATCAAAAAGCGGCACAGTTTTCCTGTACAGGGGCGGACTGGCCATGGGGGCGGGGAGGCGATCCCCTCCTAACAATTTGCCGCGGAAGTCCCGAGGGGGCCCCCGCGGTGAATGTTTTTCAAGTCATTGTTTTTTCCCCCGTAATGTTGTAATTTTTCATCCTTTTCAGTCACTAAAAGGCCCCGAAATCCTTGAAAATTTGTCTCTAAGAAACATGAAAGATCACCTAAAGCTTATGTGCGATGAAGGGGCCCCCGAAGAATCCCGAGAATGGGTCATTTTGAAGTTCAAGTACTGTAGAATTTAACTCAGATAATGCTTAAAATTGCGATTGAAAAGTGTGAAATTTTCAACATTTTCCGGGGGAGGGCTCTCTGACCTTCTTAGAGGGGCCCCCGAACGACAGGAGGGGTCCCCACATCTAGGTCGCCTTCTAACTTTTCGACTACCAGTCCGCCCCTGTTCATGTAGTAAAAAGATACGAATGACCATACTCTGTCTATAAAGGTACTCTAGTTCAAATGGTAGGAAAGCGTAGTTGTCAACCGTTAGATCCGCCTCTGCATTTCAAACTTCGGATCTCCTCCTTAGGCGTAGCCAAATTCCTTTTTGAGGCACCGAGAACAGCATGCTCCTTTTGAATGTCAAGGGTATGTCCGTGTCGATCGTGGGCTCAAAATCGTAGTTTGTGACTAAAAACGCGACGGCAGTCTTCATCGCTGTTTGCGCAAACCGAACTCCTGCAAAAAGGATATGCTAGTTTAAATTGTTACTGCCGTATAATTGAAATTTTTGTAAAATTTTAGCTTCTTATCGATGTTACGGTGAACCGCCATCTTGTTTGTTTATTTACGGCCGTAAGAGCATCATGGAGCCTAAGAACTCGTTGACCAATCAAAAAGCGGCACAGTTTTCCTGTAGTAAAAAGATACGAATGTCCATACTCTGTCTATAAAGGTACTCTACCTTACCTCATACCTTGTTTAAAAGCCCATTTGCAAAAATAGCCCATGCTCAAAAACCTCATTTTGAGGAAAATGCATTTTAAGTTCAGAATTTTTGATAACCAGTTCAGTTTTTGAGCAAAGGAATGAGTTTTCTGGTGCTTCTGCAGTAAGAACTCTTGCCAAAGAAGAGTTGCGTGAAGATTCATGAATTATTTTTATTCGCATAAAAGAACGTTTTTGCGTATGGGCTGTTTCCACAGGCGCGCCCCCTCAATGATGCCTCTTGCGTTGTGTATGTCGCTTACTCACTAATTGAAGGGACTCCTTTTTTCGAAATTGATGGTCATAAGGTTAAGATTGAAATATTTTTCACTGGGTGTTTTCTTCGTCTCCTCCAAGGAGACGCCCGTTCAAATATCTTTTTCGACGGCCTATCTTCCGTCATTCTGCTCACATGACCTCAGCAGACGAACTCTGTTTGGTCATGACGTCAAGTGCGATGCCATGCAAAATCGCGATATTTTGATATTTAGTTGCGATTTTTTTACGCTTCTTAGCGATGAAATCGCTAGGATCATCAACATCTCAGCGATTTTCCTCAATCTTGTCGCAATTCTATCTCTGAAAAATCGCGTTCGGTAACATTTCGATTTTATCTCAATTTATCACGATTTTCTACTCTATACGATTGCAATAATCGCCGTTGATACTATCGCGGATCCTCCGATCGAATTAAATCGCAACTTAAAGCGATCAGTGTTACAATTTCTAAAGCAGCAGCCCGTGACAATGGTGTTATCAAAAACATAGGAGAAAAAACGGGAAACGACGCTAAAAAGTACGCATAAAAATCCGAGACGTTCCGGCTCAAAACTGACCCATTTTTAGTCGGAAGAATAAAAATAAAATATGAAAATTCCCAAGAGAAACCTGCAGACTCCACTACACGATGGCCAAGAAAATCAAAACAAAGAGAAGACTTGAGTTATTCTCTTGTCCTTCTCTATATTTTGATTTTCTTGGCCATCGCGTAGTCTGCAGGTTTCTAATTGGAATTTTTATATTTTATTTTTATTCTTCGGACTGAAAATAGCTCAGTTTTGAGCCGAAACGTCTAGGATTTTTATGTGTACTTTTTAGCCTTGTTTCCCGTTTTTTCTCCTAAGTTTTTGAGATCAGTGCCACTCGGGCAGTCTGTAAGGACCATCCGTTTCAAACAATAGGATCACTTCTGTTCACTTTGTCTTCTTTGTCTATAGCTCTGTCTATCTATCAATTCCGATAATGGAGATGTTGCATGTGTGAGGGATTTGCGATTTGACTGTTGGTTCTTATGTAAAAGTTCGCGAGAAACACGATGGTGCCACTGGTTTTCTCTTAAATCACTTCCCAAGCTCTAAAAAGGCTCGCAAAGTGAGGCCAAAATGGAGGGGATATCCCACCCTATCCTGAGAGTCCACCTCTACATCAAAACAAACTCTCCATGCAAAGATAGGGAGCAAATATATTAGCAGGGTTGCCGTGTTTTCAGTTTTGGAGTCACCAAATAAAGTGGCAACCCCGCTAATGTATTTGCTCCCTATCTTTGCATGGAGAGTTTGTTTTGATGTAGAGGTGGACTCTCAGGGTAGGGTGGGATATCCCCTCCATTTTGGCCTCAACTTGAGAGCTTTTTTTGAGCTTGGGGGTTGATTTCAGAGAAAACCAGTGGCACCATCGTGTTTCTCGCGAACTTTTACATAAGAACCAACGGTCAAATCGCAAATCCCTCACACATGCAACATTTCCATTAGCCTCCGGGTATAATTATTTACCTGCACACATGCGCGGCCCATCGCCGAAGGGTAGGTAACTTCCCCGTGGGATGTTGTGTTTGTTATCCGCACTAAATCTGTCCGGGTTGAACTTGTCGGGATTTGGAAAGTGGAGCGGGTCATGATGCAGGGCGTGGACGGGTATCAGAACTCTGGTGCCTTTTTCAACGGTGTAGCGTGTACCAGGCATCTCGTAGTCTTTCGTGCAAATCCTGTCCAACCAACCGAAGACAGGATATTTCCGCTGAGTTTCTGGAATCGAAAATAAATCAAATGGACGCATTCATTTATGTGAAAAAGGGACATGACAATATGTATGTCGCAGGCAAATTGTTAAATCAGGCATTTTATCAAATGCCTTGGCCAGCGGGCTGATTATTGAAACTGATAGACAAAGCTATAGACAAAGACGACAAAAGTGATTTGGAGGGATCCTATTGGTGGAAGCGGGTGGTGACAATGGACATAGGAGGTAGGTAATGGACTGACTAACGGCAACCCACCAAAGACCCGACAGTTAGTCCATCATTTTCTTCCTTAGTCTATAAGAACCAACCATGTCAACCAATAGGATCGCTCTATATTCCATGTGTCTTCTTTGTCTATCGCTTTGTCTATCAGTTTCAATAATCGGCCCGCAGGGACGGATATATCTACTTGTCGCCTGATGTATCTGTATAACTTGATGCATATGTATCCGGGCGGCGCTCAAGCCAGGACTCAAGCATAGGAGCGACCCATAACCAACTCCATATAGAATGCCTAGAATGCCTCGTGTTTCATGTAGCAGAACCGTGAAAGCCTCTTTATTGTATTTTCAATAAAACCCCAGTCTGTCATCTCAACAATATCATTGTGCTTATTCTCCCGTTTTCCCCCCGAAACTATACACAAATCATGGCGCAGTCGTAAGTGATCGTTTCTTAGTGCATTATCGTTACCTTACTCGTGTCTCGTGTACGTTCCAACCTCAAAATGGAATTCGGACTTTATAATAAACCTGAACCTCTCTCTCTTTCGGGAAATGTGCGGGACAACTGGTTGAAATTTAAATCGGAGTTCGAGGACTTAATGATCGGAAACGAATGGGATCAGAAATCCGATAAAGTTAAAAGTGCGAAACTCAGAAACTTCATAGGACCTGAAGGCCGACAGCGAATCAAAGCGCTTGGACTCGATAAATCTGAAGATTATAATGAACTAATTAAGAAACTGGATGAGTGGGCAGAGCCCCAGAAAAATGTGGCCATCGAGCGTTTAAAATTTAACAGCAGAACCCAAAATGTTGGTGAGTCTTTCGATGAATTTAGCTCAGACCTAAAGAAGCTCATCATACATTGTGATTATGGATCTCTCAGAGATGAAATGTTACGAGACAAAATTATGATGGGAGTGGCAGACCAAGCTTTAAAGGAGTACTTGTTCCGGATGGCGGAACCAACACTAGAGAAAGTGGAGAAAACATGCAAGGCGGTGGAAGCAGCTAAGACGAACGTGAAGCTGGCAGCTAAGTCACAAGAAGAAGTACTAGTACAGGCAATCCACAAGAACCCAGAGAAAGAGCAACGCAGTGAATCCAATCAAGGTAAATCCAACGCTAACAACATACGACAACAAAATAATGATGTACACGCAAACTTTCAAGGTAATGTCAATTACATTCCCAATAGTGATGTTAGATATAATCCCAATAGCAGTGCTAACTTCAGTTCCCCGAACGTTTATGGTGTCGCCAGTTATAACCCAAACAACAATGTAAACTATAGGTACAATAATGCTAACTACAATCCAACTAAATGGGCCGCCTGTATTTTGCCGCCCCCTTCTCATTCGTTTTGAAACATCAACAAAACCATCCAGTGAACGTGCCGGAGGTAGCGGGGTGCATAAAACGCGTTTACTCGAGTTAGACACATTTTTTGGGAAAGCCCTGTCAACACTACAAGCAAAAGTTCTCGGAGCTTTGCGCGAAAGTTAAGTCCCGTAAACCTATGCCTTTGTGGACAAGGCCTTCCATTTATAAGCATTAAACGAAAAATTTAAGAAAGAACAAACATAAATGTGGTTTAATGATTAACTTCCGCCGCCGCTCCGCGCTGACCGCACTGTATTTGGCGCAATGCGGGAAGTATTCCTACAGCCTTGTAGGCGCTATGCGTTTCACGCCGACCGATGCTGACCGCACTGTGTCTGACGCAATGCGTGAAGTATTCATGCAATCTTGTAGGCGCTAATATGCGTTACATGCCGACCGCCGCGGCGAGGGCTTCTCTTTTTCATCTCAAGTCCTCGTCATCATTCTTCTCTGCACTGAGCTCCAGGCCAAATTGCGAGTTTAGTCCCTCTCTTAACTCGACTAATTAAAGATGCTATGTCTCTTGTATCACCGAAAAGAACAAAATTAGAAATTACTATACTCTCAGGAAAGAGAGATTTTGTCCCCTTTTCTCATTGATAATTTTTTTTTCTGAATCCCATTTTTTATAGCTACTTTTAATAAAATTGCAAAATTTTCCGCCCCCTTTTGCCGCCATGGGCCGCGGCCCATGTGACCACCCCCTTAATCCGGCCCTGGCCTTGGCAAATAGTCAAATATCCTTATTTAGTTTAAAATTAATTCTGATTATTTTCTTAATTTTAGACAGATTGAGGCATCGCTCTTGTAAAAAAGAAATCTTTGTACAATTTGGCATCATATAGTCGTATTTAAAACGGAAAATGCTCCTAAGCGAACATTAATGCCGTACACCATGACATAAAGCACAGTTTTTTTTTTTAAACCTTTAGATTTACATGTATGAAATGCATTTGGACGCGAAGCAACAAGGAGAAGTCGAAGATTTGATTACTTATTTTTTTAAAAAAATATTTAAAACTCATGATCTTTAGGTTATAAATACATAGGTTCATAAACTGTCAAAATCTGACTATCCTCCGTGACATTTGATAAAAAGCCTGATTTAACTCATTGCCTGCGACATGTACAATGTGAAAAAAGATGAAATGAAAAGAGATATGTTTAAAATTCCGAGCAGCACAGACTGCAATCAATTGCAATTATTATTCATGGAAGAATAATTGCTTTTATGCCGGAGAGTTGTGTGTGTTGCCTATTTATTGGTTGAAGGGGCTCCTTTTGTTGGAATTCATTGAAATAAGTCGAAGTTTCTTTAAAATAGCAAATCGCCTGTCTTTCTTACACATGAAACGCATACATTGATCGTTTAAAATCGGCATTTATCGACCAAATGATTCAAAACTATTCCAAGTTCGTGGTAACAAATTACATTTGCATTGCATTAAAGTGCAAAATTATTTCGATATTTTCGTTGCCCTACGTTATACATGGATAGGAATTTTATAGGATTATAAAATTCTATCATAAAATTTTATAGTATTATGAAAAGAAGGAACTATGATAATGAAAAAAATAGCAGAGACTTTCGATGCAGGACAAAGGATCTCTTAATTTTTATTCGTAATTTTTCTTAATTGTTTTCGGTTTTAAAAGTCTACATTTATAAATCAACGCTGCCAGCATAAGCGGAACTGAAGAGCTTTCTGTGGTGGAGAGGGGAGCTTTTTGTGGGGGAGAAGGGGACTTCATCAAGGGGGGTCTCCGGAGAACACAAAGAAACCCCTGTAAGGAGGGTCTGCGGGACTTTCCTAGCTGGTAGCTGGACTTTCACCCTATTTTTTTTTATCCGGTACAGCCTAGTTTGGCCAACAAACGCAATTCAAGTTAAACTTTGACTGTCTTGCTCACGTAGCCTTTTAAACGCCGCTACTAATAAGACAAACGGAGCCAACACAACATGAAAATAGAGTAAGAGAAAGGACTCGTTTTGGTGACGGCGCAGAGATACAACTATTCGTGCTTGATGGATGTCCGTATTGTATCTGCTAACTTGAAGGCGCGATGCGTAAACTCGCAATGCTCCGCTCTAAGCTGTCAGTGAGGTGTCACTACTTGAATTCGAGAGAAAAGGTAAAAAAAAGGCCCGATTACATCTCTCCTATCTTTGGCTGTTTTTCTAACATAGCCTTTGAAATATTACAACAAATAAGACAGATGGAACCAACACAACGTGGAAATAGAGTAAGAGAAAGGACTCGTTTTGATGACGGCGCAGAGATACAACTATTCGTACTTGATGGATGTCCGTGTTGTATCTGCAAAATTGAAGGCACTAGGGCGTGAGGCGTGCATAAGCTCGCGATATTCCGCTCTTGGCTGCCAATGAGCTGTCGCTCTGGTACGGGAGAGAAGTTTTAAAAAACCGAACCCAAAAACGTATCTCCTATCTTCGGCTGTGTTGATATTGGATTTTTTTTAAATTTGACGTGTTATTCTTTTTTTCAAGTTGTATTTGTTGACATACATCTCTAATTCGGATGCACCGGCCCCATAAAACCTGCGGGGCTCGTGTTGTCAGCGATCTTTGGGTCAGTTTGATCCAGCTTGGGCATCTAAGGGTTAAATTTCATAATTCGGTGAAATCTCAGCACCTATTTCATTGCTTGTAACTGGACCAAGTAAACTATTGGTTCAAATGGACTGCATTTGCAAAAAGGAACCAAGAGCATTGCAGTGTTGCTAAGATTGTGCAACTTCTCTTGTCTTGAAAGAAAAACCTGATCATCTATAAACATTCTCTATTTCACACGCTAAAAACTGTAAATTTAAGACCGAAAGTACCATGTAAATTTCATATTTTTGCATGATTACAGTAATTTTATTGCAAAGGGTGAAGTCGCACAATCTAGCAACATGGCAATGCTTCTGGTTCCTTTTTGCAAAATGCAATCCAAATAACATTGCACCAAACAATTATCGGACAAACTTAAAAATAGACCACAAAAACTTTGGACCAAACAAAATTGGGTAAAGAGTGTGGCCTGGTCACCCTTTGGAGCTAGAGTCGTCTTTTTTTATGCCATCGGTCGCCATCAGTCGCCGTCACTGCGCAATCATTCGTGTTTTGTTTCGTTGATGCCATCAGAAATGGGCGGAGCTTAGTTTGTCAAACTGAGCTAGACCATCAGTCACGTGACGCTTTGACGCCATCAGCCGCAATCACTCGTCACCCGAGTCCGGAGTGTCTCCATGGAGCACCATCAGTGAAACCTAACCTCTAACAATTTTTTAGTAGCGTAATCCCGTGATTGGATAGAGAAAAATGGGCGTAACCATCAGTCGCAATCACAGCGATGCCGTCGGTAAGCGACCGACGACATAAAAAAAGACGACTTAGGAGGTGACCACAGTATATTTCGGGGATTTTCCTAGCGTCAAAGGAGAGTCTGAGGAGCCTCTCCCAAAAAATCCCGAAAAATAAGTTCTCTAAGGAGCAATTTTGAGCTCCACCCACCGAGAAGTTAATCTAATTACAATTTTGAAGATGACAAATTTGTCACGCTCTTATACTTAGCACAATCCATCGCATTTCTTGGAAGGGACCGAGTAGATATCTGTAGGGCCAGCTCTCCCTACTATTACCGCCCATGGCCACTACGGGAGCTTTCGGAAGTCGGCTATACTTTGGCTAGAGAGATAGAGATAGAAGAATATACACTGCAAAAAACACGTAGGATCTAGAGTCCAGACTCTTAAAAACATCGACAAGAAAAAATATGCTCTCGATTCAATCAGATTTAAGCTTAATTCAAGAACCAAGCCTCTTAATTTGGGCGGATTTCCTTTTGATTTAAGCTTAAATCTGATTGAATCAAGAGTCCTTTCTCTTGTCAATATTTTCAAGAGTCTGAACTCTAGATCCAATGTGTTTTTTTCCAGTGTATATAATAACCATTAGTAAGAGAGAGAGATAGAGATCTGAAACTAGTTCTCACCGTCGATGACGCACTGTAGATACGACATGTCCTTTAAACAGTCAAAAGATAAGTCTCCTTCGTGTCTCGATAAAACTGATTTCACTTCCTCTCTGCATTTTTGAGCTATGTCAGGGTTCAGCGCCAGCTCATACAGACAGTACGCCAACGTCCCTGAAGTCGTTTCCGAGGCGTTCACAGTCAGTAAAAATCCCATCGCAGCAATGAAAGTATCCGTTACCAAAGGCTCTGCAAAATAATTGAAAAAGATCTCATAGGCCGAGGTTAGAGTCCCTTAATACTGAGAGTCAAGACAATTTGAATCCATTTCTGATTGGTTCTCGTATTTTAGGCCTTCACAGTGTCACAAACGGGAATTAAGATTACATTTTCATCGATTGCAAAGATTGTAATCTAGAATGGACCAGGGATTACGGGTTCGGCAAGGAACAAACGGTATGAGAGAAGGAACGGAGAGAGGAATTTGAAAATGGGCCGATCAAAGATTACGAAAAACGTTCAATTTCTGTAATCTTTATTCCCGCTTGTGACTCCATGAGGGGGTGTTGTCTCGACTCTCAGTATAAAGGGACTCTAGCCGAGGTCAACATACGGTAGTTAGATACTTGTCTGACAAAAAGTTTATAACTGAAAGTTACACAATTTGTTTAAAAGAACTCAGATTCCTTCATTCTTTTTTACTTTATCGTACATGTGTTTGGCTTCAGTGAAAGTAGCATGACATCACTCCGACGTCATGGTAGCATCCAGCGTGTGTTCCAAAAATCAATTTGATGTCGCAATGACGAGGTAGTAATGTAAGCTTCTCTTTTATCAGGGTGGTGTTCAAATTAATTTATTTTTAAAGGTCATTTGATCCTTAACGATTTTGGTTTCTCCGAAAACTAGGACATGAAGATCGATGATTTTACTGTAAGCTGAAAACTCTATAATTTCTCACTTATCAATTGATTTTGAATTTTTTAGCATTTCCGACGTTTTTTAGCTGTTTAGATGAAGAAATTTATTTTGGGGTGTGTAAATGCTTACCCTTTCCAAAGAAACAAACTACCCAGTTTAGGTATTCTGGTAACAACAATAGTTAAAAACCTTTAATAGAAAACTCGTATATTTTAAAAAGACAACCCTCAACAAATTTATGTTTTGAGAAATCCTTCCGAGGTATATCAACGAGTATTTTCCTAACGTAAAATGTAACTTAAAGAAAGTGTTTAGTAAAGAAAGAAGGTAAGGGGCTCGTAGGTAGTGAGAAACTAACAACCTCTTCTAAGTTGTTCATACATCACAAGTACTGATCAAGTAGTAGTTCGTCTCTCTGTAGTTTTACAACTTTTCGGGAAAAAAATTTAAAAAAACTCTTAAAGAATTGGAGTATTTATAAAGAATCGTCTACCTAAATCTTAATTGGACTCCATCTTGCAATTAGAGCGTACAATTTCTAGCTCAGATTAGAATTAACGTATGTACCTTTAGATTAGATTCGCTATGCACATTGGTGATTTCACAGAAGAACTAGAAATTGGACTTATTTCTACCAAACAGAACTATGTGCGGGTGGGAATAAAGATGGGGTACGCTAATATTAAAAAACTAGCGAAATGCCCGTGACTGGAGTCACGGGTCTAGAGGCCGCTAAAATATCTATAACCCCGAAAAAATGGTGGTAGGGGAGCCAGACATGCCATAAAAGAAAATGATGAAATCGATAGAAAAATGAGTTGAGGGGAGAGGGTAATGGAGCTAAAAAAATGAGCTGGGGAGGGGACGTAGAATAAATGCTGGCAAAAAAATTAGAACTAACCTAGCAATGATTTATTAAAAAAAAGAAGGAAAAAAAAATGAAAAAAAGAAATTGAAATAGAACATCAGCTGATAGCAAATAAAGGTTACCAAGGAAACCAAGGAATGGAACTTTCATAAAAACAGTTTAGTGGAAAATAGCGTAAGTAGGGCACTTACGTTAATTACCGTTTATAAGTAAACGGTAAATGCGATTTAACTGAAAATCTATACAGTTCTTCATCAGATCAAAATGGACAAAATTACAAAATTTGAGACAGCTAACGTAAATCTAACGATAGTTATCGTGAACGAAAGAATTGCTGACATAGATCCGGTAACTATTATAGGTGGGATAAGTTCAGACATAGTTGCCAGATAGTACTGAAACATCAGCACTTTTCCCCATTTAAACCCATGTAAGACACACACATTTTATCGCACAACCTGGCAACCTTGGTTCAGACGTGATGTTGGACTGGACGCATCTCTCAATTATTTTTTTTTCCGCCCGCTGAGAAGGAGAATGGCAGAGGAAGTTGCGTATAACTTTTCAATTATTTTATTTCTTTTCAAGTATATTTTTACCAGATTATTAAATTCTCTCATCGACAAAAGTTTTCTAAAAGTTGGTGGAAAATTAAAAGGATTCAAGGATTCAAATGATTTTTATTCATGATAGCTTGTGTTTTTTCCCATCTTTTGAAAATTTGATTATTTCTATATTCCATCACGAAATGATAATCTTTTTAAACGTTTTTCTCTTTTTCCCTCTCTATTTAAATATATTGGACATGTAGCTTTGAGCACAAATGTTGCCAGATTGTGCAAATAGATAAATATTTATCCGAAAGACTTGGCAACACCGCAATGCATCTGTTGCCAAATTTGTCCTATTTATTCGTATATATTTTTACATATTCTAACAATCTAACAACTCTCTACTGCGCTGTGATTGGTCCATTCCGATGTATTTGTCAAATTTATTATACGTATTCGAATTTATTTAAACTGTATGCCACTCTCAACTGCACTGTGATTGGTCCTCATTCAAACTGTATGACAACCCTCTACTACGCGGGTAAGAATTAGAATAGCGGGATTTTAAATTCACCAAACGGAACTAAGTGCAGATTGTATGCGGGACTCATGAGCCGTGGGCATAAGAAAAGAGCCTTGTGGACAGGACTCATGAGCTTCAGTGGCGTGGCGTGAATTGCGATATATCGATTGTTATGCCATTTAAACCTGTGGAAAAAGATCGATGAACAGGGTGTTCGCAGCGAACACCTTAATAATCGAGTCTTTATCATAGGTTTAAATGGCATAACAATCGATACATCGCAATTCACGCCACGCCACTGATGAGCTTAAAGACCGCGAAGCTCCTCGAATGGCTACCGTCGTCACCGCTGACGTCACTGGCGCTTAAAAATTCCCATTTACTCTTACGACCCGAGAACTAACAAGCACACCCCATATTTCCCGCCTGCACATAGTTTGCAAAATGAAGTCCAATTTTAAAAATATGTACACGGTATTTCCTCAAGAATTATTTTCAACAATATTTTTAATTATTTGAACGCCGCTACATCATGGTTGTAGTTGCACGAGGGTACTCAGCCGTGATAGCGAAGAGAGCAGTAAGTGTCAAATTTTCGAAAGCGAATTTCCTTTGAGATTCGTTTAAAAAGCGATTCGGAAAGCAAGCAGACGCCGCTAATTCGGATTATGGTGCGTGCTCGCACGCATCACTGAATGACGCCTTCGACATCCTTGAGATACTTCAAACGCTACACCGTCACACAAACGTCCCGATGCGCAAATTGCCTACACTGCGCCTGCTGTGGTGTAGACCATGCTGCCGTGATAGCCTTCAAAATTCGTCTAATCTCTTTTAGATGAAATCGCTGAAATATCTAAAACAGCAATATTCATCTTAATTGTATCAAAACGAGACATATGAGAAAGCCGTAAGTGCGCAAAAAATGACGCACTTTCAAGCAAAACGAAGGTAAGTGATATTAATCCTCCGAAGAGCCGATGAAAACAGTGCTTTCAAGTAAAATGCCGCCCTCCTCTGGAAATTTCTGACCTGAAAATGCGTTTGTTGTGTGTCCAAAACGCAACCACGGGAGCATGTAGAAGTTAGCACTTACGGCTGTAACAATAGTCTAACATGAAATTGAAAAATACCTTTTTTTATGAATCATTGAAAGAAGCTTCCGTTCTTTCTCAAATTGCCACTAATCGTCCGAAAGACTCTTAGAAATCGTTTGGTTGATTAAAAATCGACTGATTCTATTTTAATTGCATAAAAAGGGTCGGTATTTTTCATTTTCACGTTCGACTATTGTTACGCAAGACAGCCGTAAGTGCTAACTTCTGCATGCTCCCGCGGTTGCGTTTTGGACACACAATAAACGCATTTTCAGGTCAGAAATTTCCAGAAGAGGGCGGCATTTTCCTTGAAAGCACTGTTTTCATCGGCTCTTCGGAGGATTAATATCACTTACCTCTGTTTTTCCTGAAAGTGCGTCATTTTTTGCGCAATTACGACTTTCTCATATGTCTCGTTTTGATACAATTAAAATGAGTTTTGCTGTTCTAGATATTTCAGTGATTTCATCTAAAAGAGATTAGACGAATTTTGAAGGACACTAGTTTTCAAAAATTTGAGAGTTCCTTATTACGGCTCCCTCCGCTATCACGGCAGCATGGTCTACACCACAGCAGGCGCAGTATAGGCAATTTGCGCATCGGAGCGTTTGTGTAACGGTGTAGCGTTTGAAGTATCTCAAGGATGTCGAAGGCGCCATATGATGTGATGCGTGCGAGCGCGCATGCAAGTGCTAACTGATTATGCGACTTTTCACCGCGCGACATTTCACCGCGGGTATTGCTAAAATGGGTCTCAAGGTGTAGCGTTTGAAGTGTCTCGAGGGTGTCGAAGGCGCCATATGATGTGATGCGTGCAAGCGCGCATGTAAGTGCTAACTGATTATGCGACATTTCACCGCGGGTATTGCTGAAATGGATCTCAAGGCAAAACGTCCTGTTGAAATGGGTGAGGCATCTTGAAAACAAAATAAGTGGAAGCGGGGCCAGTCCCGAGAGTTTCTCATTTGATTCTTATTGGTCCAATCGCTCCCGGGCAGAGGGAGGTTGGACAAATGAGAGTCGGGCGAGAAAATCTTTTCATTTTTTTAGGTCGTTCTTTTGCAGAGACAATTGCCAAAGCGGGCCTAAGAGAGGGCGAAGCGCCCTCTGGGGGTTGGGCCGCGTAGCGGCCAGGGGGCATACCCGCTTAGTGTACTCTATTTCTCTTCGCACTCACGATAGTGCTGTAGATAGCTCCTCACCTGCCTCAGGGTGAGTTCTGGAACCCTCGAGCTCCTCACGATGGAGGTCGATCAAGTATTGAAGGATGTCGTCGTGGGGCGAGGGGTCCGCGGCGCGGGATTTGAGGGTGGCGTCGACGAAGCAGAGGAAGAAGTCGTCGACGAAAGCGGGGATCCGTTTGAGGCCGAGCCACCGGACGAGGGGCAGCCCAGTCGAGCGCAGGAAACTCCGCATCGCGAAGTAGTTCGAGTCCCGCATCACGGAATTCACCACCCGGCTCAGCTCGTTCTTGTCGTTCTCCAGCGCCTCGCACCTGGGCAAAATCAGCAGGAATCGGTCAGAACGCAGAGCGGAGAAAGGAGGTGTTTGGATCTTGAGGATTGTTTGCCCTATTACGCAGGTCGGTACAACCCGGCCAGCGAAATCCGGACTGGAGATGTTGCATGTGTGAGGAATTTGCAATTTGACAGTTGATTCTTACGTAAAAGATCGCGAGAAACACGATGGTGACACTGGTTTTTTCTGAAATCATCTCCCAAAGCTCAAAAAAAGCTCTCAAGTTGAAGCCAAAATGGAGGGGATATCCCACCCTACCCTGAGAGTCCACGTCTACATCAAGACAAACTCTCCATGTAAAGATAGGGAACAAATACATTAGCAGGGTTGCCGTGTTTTCAGTTTTGGAGTCCCCAAATGAAGTGGCATCAGTGCTAATGTATTTGCCCCCTATCTTTGCATGGAGAGTTCGTTTTGAATAGACGTGGACTCTCAGGGTAGGGTGGGATATCCCCTCCATTTTGGCCTCAACTTGAGAGCTTTTTTTGAGCTTGGGAGTTGATTTCATAGAAAACCCGTAGCACCATCGTGTTTCTCGCGATCTTTTACATAAGAATCAACAGTCAAATCGCAAATTCCTCACACATGCAACACCTCCATTCGAAGTATGAAAAACGGACCATGATGTCCGATTTTTTTGCTTAAATCGACTCATGATATAATTTATAACGCACTTCATGTAGAATTACTTTCTTCCATAAATTACACCATTTCCAAGAAAATCGATGATAAAAGTCGTCCGTACCGACCTATGTCACACTGGAAAAAAAACACATTGGATCCAGAGTCCAGACTCTTAAAAACATCGACAAGAAAAAGTACTCTTGATTCAATCAGAATCTAGCTTAAATCAAGAACCAAGCCTCTTAATTTAAGCGGATTTCGTTTTTGATTCAAGCAAAAATCCGATTGAATCAAGAGTATTTTTTCTTGTCAATGTTTTCAAGAGTCTGGACTCTAGATCCAATGTGATTTTTTTCCAGTGCATCAAAAAAGTCCAAGATGCCCGAAAAGCAAATACCTCATTTTTTTTCCATGCGGTCAGAATGAGTCAGTTGTGCTGGTCACAGAATTGTGTTTTGATACTTGATTCTTGAAGATTAGCAAAAATTAATAAGATCCGTCCAACAGCAACTTTTTACCTACTTTTGATATTAACCGAAATATCCCGCTTTGAAAAATTCGGTTTTTGACGTCATCCACCACGGATGTGACTCGTGACACCCTTGGTTCCTTTCACATTGCTTTCATCCAGGGCCGGATTTTCCTACTTGCCGCCCATGGGCCGGCTGTATTTTGCCGCCCCCTTCTCATCCGTTTTGAAACATCAATAAAAACAACCAAGTGAACGTACCAGCGGGGTGTGACGGAAATTTTTCCCGTCACTTAAGTTCGAATAAGTATTTAATCATATGTAAAAATTTCGATGACTACAACGGTAGCAGGTGATTGCGACGGTAGCGCACTCTGTAGGGACGGTGATGTAGCGGAATACCGTAGTACACCGGTCGGCCGCCGCGCGCCACTCGAGCGCTCTCGCGGAGCGATCCGGACCCGACTACACAGCTGTTTAGCGTGTGCACGACGTCTCGGTCGTTCAGACTCCTGGAAAAAGTCGGTTTTTTTATTATTTTTGCTTTATTAATTAATTGGTTTCAGCAAATTTACTCAAGAAAGTCGCAAAGCTAATTTAGGCAAATCATTTGATGTAAGAATAAATTTATTTGATTGTATATTAAACTTTTTGAAGTCGAATGAAGTTGGTCGATGCATACGGAAGGTAAATGAAATGAATTTGATGGGGTCCCGACCGGTACCTCGCAGCGCTTGTCCGAGTTTTCGGATCCCTTCATTTGCGTAGCTGTGCACGTGGTGAGTAGCACGCTGGCAAATGAGGGCTTGGTTTCTCATCGCATTTATTTTCTTGTGTGACGCACTCATTTCTGGGTAGCTCCTATGGTGAATAAATGCATGAGCATGGATTTTTTACTTAGTAATCTCGTGATGAAATTGAATTAAATGAATTTTATTCTTATTCGGAAGCACATCTAATTTAAGTATATTTGATTTAATTTAATCATGAAAAATAAATCTCTCATAATTGATCAATTTCCAAGTGTGCACGTGTTGAGTAGCACCTGGGATTTTGGTTGTTATTGGAATTTATTTTGGAAAATATTTATTTCGTATCCTAAATCTACCATTCAAGATTGAGTGCACGTGGTGAGTAGCACCGGTTGTTTGGGAGATTTAAGGTAAAATAAATAATCAAAGAGTAATTGGTTCGAAAGTTCGAAAACTTTTTTTGTCCCCTTTTCCGTTCCTTTCAAAGTACCTATTTTAAAAAGTCAATCCGATCAACAACATTCACCTTCAATCGTCCTAATTTTGATCTCGTATTTAGTTTTATATTTTTTTGTCTTGAGAATTTTTTTTGTTTGTAATTGTGTTCAAAAAAGTAGTTTCTTTTCTTGTCAATAAAAAAAATTGACTCTAGTACGTTTAAATTTGCTCTCATTATTCCTTCCTGCCAATCCTGTCCTCACCTCAGGAAAATCAATTTTTGATTACGCACTTCGAGTGTGTTGGCGCCCGAACCCAGGCGTCCCGACGAGCATCTGGCACCCAAAATTTGTGGCTTGATCTGCTGAAGCTCGATCCTTTCCGGAAGGCTTGCTTTCTGACGATCAGGATCGTACGAGCTCTCGCTTTTCCTCGCCACACGGGGGAGGGGTGCATAAGACGCGTTTACTCGTGTTGAACACATTTTTTGGGAAAGTCCTGTCAACACTACTAGCAAAAGTTTACGGAACTTTGCGCGAAAGTCAAGTTTCGTGAACCTATTTCTGTGTAAACAAGGCCTTCCATTCGTAAGAAATGAACGAAAAAGTTATGGAAGAACAAACATAAATGTGGATTAATGATTTTAACTTCCACCGCCGCGCCGCGCCGACCGCACCGTGTTTGGCGCAATGCGTGAAGTATTCACGCAGTCTTGTAGGCGCTATGCGTCTCACGCTGATCGCACGGTGTTTGCCGCAATGCGTGAGGTATTCATGCATTCTTGTAGGCGCTATCCATTTCACGCTGTCTGCAATAACCGCATTGTGTTTGATGCAATGCGTGAAGTATTCGTGCAGTCTTGTAGGCGCTAATATGTGTTACTTGCCGATCGCCGCGACGAGGGCTTCTCCTTTTCATTTCAAGTCCTCATCGTCCTTTCTCTCTAGGTAAGTCGCGCCGTTCCAGGCCAAACTGCGTGTTTGGTTTCTCTCTTAACTCGACTAGTTATAGGTGCTGTCTCTGGTATCACTGAAAGACGACTAAAGTAGAAATTACTATACTCTCAGAAAATTAGAGATTTTGTCGCCTTTTTTCGTTTGTAATTTTTTTTTTCTAAATCTGAATTTTTTTTATACCTACATTTAAAAAAATTGCAAAATTTGCCGCCATGTGGCCATCCCCTCAATCCGGCCCTGCTTTCATTCGAGTTTCACGTTGGGTTACCAGTGCAAATGTGTATCTCACTGATTGACGGAAGCAGGGTAAAAAAATTCCAAGGGTGTCACTAGCCCGGTGGATGACGTCGTAAACCCGACTTTTCAAAGGGCGCTATTTCGGTTAACATGGAACGTAGAAAGTTGCTGTTTAGACGGCTCTTATTATTTTTGGCTTATCTACAAGAACCAAGCGCTAAAACGCAATTTTATGACCAGCGCAACTGCCCCATGAGAGTACGGAAAAGTCGAAATTTGTAGAGTCCCTCCATACTGAGGAGATAGACAATGCGAATCCATTTCTGATTGGTTCCCGTACTTAAGGCCTTCGCAGTGTCACAAACGGGAATAAAGATTACATTTTCACCAATTGCAAAGATTATAACTGGAATGGACCGGGGAATTGGAGCTACGGCTAGGGACAAATGGAATGAGAAAGGAAACGGAGACAGTGATTCGGGAATGGATTGATGAAAGATTACAAAAAACGCTGGAGGACAATCAAGCTGGGGGACTTAGACGGATCGAGACACCCCGAACGGGGTAGCAGGGCGGTCTAGGGGCCTCCTTCAATTTTTTTATTGAATTTTTAAAGCATATTTGAGTCATCTCATGAAATTACCAAATGTAAGCGTCTCTCTTTCTTCTTTCCTATGTTCCTTCCTTCTCTTCTTTTTCTCTCCCTTCCGTCTTTTTTCGAGCAAACGGGGGGGGGGGCATCCACCTGCGCCCCCCTCCTTGATCCGCCTATGCTAGGGGAGCAAGGCGTGAAAACCTAACTTGGGAATTGAGGGGTTGAACGACATAGGACTTTGCGATCGGCAATCTTGCGACGCCCAACACGCACGTAGGAATCACATTACAAGAGACCAAATTTTATGCCAATCAGTTCTTTTTTCAAATTTATTCAATCAATTTTGGCCAGCGTACTGCTTATTGAAATCGATGTACAAAGCGATAGACAAAGAGGACATAGGGAGTATGGAGCGATCCTATTGGTAGAAATGGGTGGTTCCCCAGTAGAATTTCTCGCTGTTTCAAAAATTAAAAAGCCATAAAGATCGTAAATATCAAAGATTAAACTCTCTCATAGAAATTTTCAAAACATCCGAATTAGGAAACCCTTTTTGTTCTATCTCAACCTGAAAATGCAATCTTGCGGGCTGATTGTTGAAATTTACAGACAAGGCTATAGACAAAGAAGACGTAGTGAGTATGGAGAGGTCCTATTGGTTGAAATGGGTGGCTCATATAGACGGAGGGAGAAAATGATGGACTAACTATCGGGTCTCTCGTGGGCTGCTGTTAGTTAGTCTGTTACCCATCTGATTTGTCCATTGCAACCACCCGCTTCCACCAACAGGATCCCTCCATATCTCTTTTGTCTTCTTGTCTATAGCTTTGTCTATCAATTTCAATAATCGGCCTACAGGGGGACTTACTGATAATAAGGTCCTCGTGCACTGAACACACGGAGGAATATGAGTAATTACAGACTTGTATTTTATTGCACTAACTTCTTGAATCCAAAGCTGCAAGTGGCAATCACATCCAGGGTGAATCTGGACATCACCTCTTTCAAGTCGCACTCGTTCCGAGTCTCGAGCGTGTGGTCAAGATACTTTTCCAGTGCGCCCGCGCACTGTTTCATTCTTGGCCAGAGCGATTTTATTTTCCCGGGAGCGAACAGCGGCGATAGTTTGTGCCGAATCACTTTCCACCTGTCATAAATCAGGAAAAAAATAGCAGTCCGATGAAAAGTGATGATGGGAAGACCATGGTAGTACAACACTGAAAAAAAAATCTCGGTGTATTTACTAAGAAAAGGGTAAAATTACCAAGAATTCAGGGTTCTATTTGATCCCAGTTTTTCCTTGGTAAAATTACCATTTATGGAATTGGTAATTTTACCGAGAAATCTCAGTAAAATTATTGAACTTTCTCGGTAATTTTACTGGACCTTGTTAAAAACGCCAATATTTTTTATCGACTGTGGTAGAATTACCGAGATAAAATGGCAAAGTTACCGGGAATTGATTACCAATAAAAGTGGTGTTCTTACCTGAAAAAAACAGTAAAAATACCGGTTTTTAGGTAAGCTTACCAGTCTGTCTTGGTAAAATTACCAATTATTGGTAAAAAAAAGTGAGATGGTAAAGGTACCAACGGACCTTGGTAAAAACGCAGAGAATTTTTTTTCAGTGAATGGCGTTTAAAATGCGTTTCTAAAATATCACAAACAAAAATAAAACATTTCATAGATGTTTAAAACGGAGAAAAACTGTCATGTTTCAAAGACCAGGGTTGCCACAGTCAGGGAAAATCAGGAAATGTCAGGGAATTTTAAAAAATCAGGGGAAACCGGGAAATGTGAGGGAAAATTTGTTAAATCACCTTCATTTGCTTTCTAGACCGGGGTTGAGGTTTCGAACAACAAATGTTGCCTGACAACTATTTTCAATTATGTCTTCTTAACCATCCGTCACATCTTCAATTGTCAGGGAATTTCACCAAAATGTGTCAGGAAAATCAGTGAACTGTCAGGGAATTTCATTTTCTAAATTATGTGGCAATCCTGAAGACAACTTTGAGATTTCAATGGAAAAAATGTATGACCATGCGTTTGCATTTGCAGTGTTCATTTAGAACCTTCCCTTATGAAAAAACAAAAGTCCACGCGAGTCAAATCGCGCACTGAACGTTATCGTAACAGTCTCTACGAAATGATAGTAAAACAATCTCAATCCGAGTGCTTCGGCTCAGCAGGTGCACGTTTTAGACACTTTGAGCAACACAAAGCGGGGCAGGAACATAGCTCAATTCGTCGCTCCTTTGACGTAAGGGCGTATCTCAATTTCCGCGTCAGCCCTATTTTACATGTAAAGAAGGGGCGAGAAGTGAATGATCGATTTTCGATATTTCCCCATTTAAAGCTATGGTAAAGAATCGATTGGTAAGGCGATCGTTGCGAACACCTTGTAAATCGATCCTGTTCAATAGGATTAAGTGGCAGATCCATCGATGTAGCGAAACGTACGCCACGCCACTTTGAATTTTTTTTCCTGCGTTTTCTGTTATTATAAGCTCCCACTTAAACCTTGGTTCGATGGTCGAATTGAATACCGAAAAAGGGGCGAAAGTCAGCCCTTATTTTGGGAGGCTCTTTGTAAATATTTTTCCTTGAATTTTTTAGATAATTTTGTTCGCAATTTCAACTAAATGTCTTGAAAATTTCAATGAAGAATATTCATTGAAATAACATTTAAAAATAATTAATTAAAGTGATTTATAAAATAAAAGCAGGTTTTAAAATAATTGAAGAATATTCATGTCTTTCCTAAAAAATAAACATTTTATTGAAGGAAATTTAGTAACTCTCGAATGTTTATACGGCGTTCCTCCTTAGCACGGCAGTATTGAAGGCGTTCCACTTTCCTCAATCACAACGCCTGGATACAACTATTCGTTTCCCGTGGCTGTGCGTGTTGCATACAGAAAAATTGAAGGCGCTATAGTTTATAGTTAGGCGCGCAGTTGGCTTCGCGCTTGACAGGTATTTGTATCGCCAAGGGTTGGTTCAAATAACTTTTAACGTTTTTTAGACTTTTTTCCCCTACCGAAGGCCCTGAACGACGACTTAAATTCTAGGAGATTAAAGTTTTAAATGTTCACCACCAGATCAAATTATACTCATGATCAATTAAAGAACACCGCCGTCAAAAGTTGAGTTCCCCTCAGATTTAGCGATTTTTGTATGGTCTACGGAAAGGACATAATAATTGTTTTATCCTTACCGTAGACCGTTGAAACAATAATAAATCGAAGGGGAATTCAACTTTTGACGGCGATTTTCTTTATTTTTATCATGAATATAATGTGCGCCATGAGTGAGTCATGGCGGCAGAAAGTGGTTATGAACATTTGAAACTTCATTTTCCTTAAATTTAAGTTATCGTTCAGGGTCTGCGGTAGGGATAAAAAGTCTAAAAAACTTTTGAATACCCTCCCCCTAAAATCCCTCCCTTAACCCCATTAAACCCCTCGTAACCCTTCAATGGAGATGTTGCATGTGTGAGGGATTTGCGATTTGACCGTTGATTCTTACGTAAAAGTTCGCGAGAAACACGATGGTGCCACTGGTTTTCTCTGAAATCATCTCCCAAGCTCAAAAAAAAGCTCTCAAAGTGAGGCTAAAATGGAGAGGATATCCCACCCTACCCTGAGAGTCCACCTCTAAATCAAGACAAACTCTCCATGCAAAGATAGGGAGTAAATACATCAGCAGGGCTGCCACTTTATTTGGGGACTCCAAAACTGAAAACACGGCAACCCTGCTAATATATTTGCTCCCTATCTTTGCATGGAGAGTTTGTTTTGATGGTAGAGGTGGACTCTCAGGGTAGGGTGGGATATCCCCTCCATTTTGGCCTCACTTTAAGAGCTTTTTTTGAGCTTGGGAGATGATTTCAGAGAAAACCAGTGGCACCATCGTGTTTCTCGCGAACTTTTACATAAGAACCAACAGTGAAATCGCAAATTCCTCACACATGCAACATCTTTATTCGCACCCTGTCCAGTGGTCCATCAAAGCGCTTGAACGCAACCGTTCGTGGTCTTGAGTTGTCCGTGCTGCCTAGTCTAAAAAATGAAGGCGCTACCGGCCAGTATCTCACCTCTCGCCCTCGAGGTTGAAGATATTCCGGTTGAGGGGGTCCAGGTCCTCGTGGATATAGATGCCCCTATCGGCGAAGTGTGCGAAATCCTTGACCAGGATCCTCCGGATGATCTCCGGATCCCGGATCATTAGATACGGGGTGGACATTTTGTAGAAGCCCCCCACGGGGTGCGGCGCCAGCTCATCATAGAACCTCTTGAAGGTCACCGCTTTGTGGACGGGGTAGACGACGCTGTCCCGGGGGAAAGGGATGTACGGGAGCCCGGATTTGGACCAGAACGCGTAGTTTCGCCAGTAGTTATACAGCAGATACGCCGACACCAGGACCGGGACGTATACCGCGTTTGAGATCAGTTCGAGGAGGATTTCGAGAATCATGTCCTGGACCGGTGCGATGAGATCAGAGTGTCACCCTGTAAAATAGATTTCCAGAGGGTAATGTAGCATCGCATCCATGATATTTGACTCCATGATCGCACCTATATAATGTTCGGTTCCTCATCACGTCCAAGATCTTGGACTCCATGCTCACTTTAATGAGGGATAATTAGTAGCATACAAATGGGCACGCCGGCGACTTTGCAACCTGAGGACAACGACCGCAAAGCCCGCTCAAAACCATCGATGAACACTTTGCAACCTGGAATCAACGACCGCCCCCGCAAAGTCCAACAGTATGTTGACAACTTTAAGCGTATCTTTGTAGAAACCCATTCATTATTTCTTCGAAGTATGAAAATAAATCGTCGCTCCGATGTCGTAATGGCGTACATCGATTCGTACATGCGGGCCTTAGAAAGCGTGGATTTATATGTAAAAATGGGCTCACTACATAGCGAATACCATGTTTTACGTGAAATTTTGCATTTGAAAAAAAAATCACCCCTCTCAGGTTCTAATTTCCGAGAAAGGAAGAGCTCTGAAAATGGCAGATCTGCAGATGGGACATTTTCTGAAGTTTTGCGAATCTTGGCAAACTTTGCAGACGTAAAAATGTCCGCACGGGATGAAAACATAGAATTTCTGCGCATCATGACGCAGCATGTCTCATCATTCTCCTCTGTGAAGATTTTAATGTGTGCCTGACCTATGTCCTCTTCGAGCACCACGAAATTCTTTCTGATGATCGAATAAAAGTCGGTAAAACGGCACTTGACTAACTTCACATCCTTCGCCAAAACACGATATATTTGGTTTTCCACACGCAATGCCTCGGGAAACTGACAATTTAGGTGCGAAAAATAATTCTTAAAAACGAACGCAAAGCCCGCTCCAAACCATCGACGAACACTTTGCAACCTGGGGTCAACGACCGCACCCGCAAAGCTCAAAAACATGATCCATAAGAAGCCACCGATTTGAAACATTTTTTTTTTTCGAAAATCGGATTTTTACATAGCATAGGTACCTCTTTTTTTCATCACTGCCTTCATTTCAACCAGTCTGCGTCACAGCCGACTGAACCATCTCACAGGAGTCGGTGTCAGGGGCGCCAGATGTTTCCGCTCCCCGGTATCGGCTTTGTTTACATCGACTCTTTGTTTACACACTATACAGTAACCTCCAATAAGCCACTTAATGAGGATATTATTTTAGAATCACAAGAGAAAGGATGACGGGAGAAAAAAATTAAAACGGTCGACCCATAGTTCCATGTTTACTTAAAAAAAAAAAAACTCATATTTTAATGAGACTAATTTTGGTCACCACCTTTTCAGCCAACGAGAGGATCATTGCAAGCCTCAGTTTTCGAAGTGAAAGGATACAGTGCCCATGTTAACGTACGGTTTAGTGCTAGTGAAGTGTAGATTACTTTAAGTGCCCAGTGAATCACAGCTTCTTCTCATCCTCATCTCATGATCATACTCATGTACCTTTTTCTGGGATGATCACTTTTGTGATCCGATCTGTAATCCCCAATTGCGTCCCGTTGTCAGGCTCATCAAAACAAAGTGCATAAAAGAAGAAGATTTCATCCTCTTCTTATACACGTGGCGAGAGATGTCTCTGCATTTCGGAAAAGCCTGTATAAGGAACGTCAGAGACTACGTGGAGTGCCATCTTTGGCAATACCTTTTGACGGGTAGAGTGACTTTGCTGCCTGTACACGAGAGACACGAGATCGATGATATTGTGTATGGTAATAGGAAGGAAATGAAGAGGAGCCAGGGGTTCAAGGAGTTGAAAATGACATTTGACGCCGCGGAGGTCGGGTTTAATCATAAATCGTACGTTTTTGAGATGCTGAATGTTTCAGCTAGGAGAAGGTTTTGTGTATTTCGCATTATTTTGAAGAATTATTTTCCGCACCTAAATTGTCAGTTTCCCAAGGCATTGCGTGTGGAAAACCAAATATATCGTGTTTTGGCGAAGGATGTGAAGTTAGTCAAGTGCCGTTTCACCGACTTTTATTTGATCATCAGAAAGAAGATCGTGGTGCTCGAAGAGGACATAGGCCAGGCACACATTAAAATCTTCTCAGAGGAGAATGATGAGACATGCTGCGTCTGTCTAGATGCGCAGAAATTCTATGTTTTCATCCCGTGCGGACATTTTTACGTCTGCAAAGTTTGCCAAGATTTGCAAAACTTCAGAAAATGTCCCATCTGCAGATCTGCCATTTTCAGAGCTCTTCCTTTCTCGGAAATTAGAACCTGAGAGGGGTGATTTTTTTTTTTTTCAAATGCAAAATTTCACGTAAAATATGATATTCGCTATGTAGTGAGCCCATTTTTACATATAAATCCACGCTTTCTAAGGCCCGCATGTACGAATCGATCTACGCCATTACGTGTCATCGGAGCGACGATTTATTTTCATACTTCGAAGAAATGATGAATAGGTTTCTACAAAGATACGCTTAAAGTTGTCAACATATACTGTTGGACTTTGCGGGGGCGGTCGTCGAACCCAGGTTGCAAAGTGTTCGTCGATGGTTTTGAGCGGGCTTTGCGGTCGTTGTCCTCAGGTTGCAAAGTCGCCGGCGTGCCCATTTGTATAGTTACTACTATAATTTTTTAAAAAAATCAAAGTGAGCAAAGCGTCCAAAATTGTGGGATGCAGGTATTCTTTGACAACACACGAGCATATGGTCCACTTTATTAAGACAATTTTTGTGAAATGAAGACGAAAAAGTGTTTTTTCTTTAAAAAATGTGCATTGGTTAGGTTACGTTTGGTTGGGTTAGGTTAGGTTAGGCTAGGTTAGGTTAGGTTAGGTTAGGTTAGTTCAAGTTAGATTATGTAAGAGAAGTATACGATTTTCTATTATGATGAACTTTAAAACTAAGAGACGTCTACTTGCTATTGGACTCCATGCTCATAAGCAAAGAAGTGAGAAGTTTAGCGATGAACATGGAGTCCAAGATCTTGGACGAGATGAGCAGGCAAATATATCAAGGGTGAGCATGGAGTCCAATATCATGGACGTGATGCTACATAATCTTCCGAAGGACCTTAGTAATTAAGAATGTTTTAAATACTTGTTTAAATATTACATCATCGGTTAATCGTCGGTTTGACTTCAATGAGGCTAAAGTTTTAGCTTCTGAGAAGCATTATTTTCCGATGGTCCTAGTACTAGAGATGGTTCACGTCCTCAAGAATAGAAATAAAGTTTGTAATTACCGCGCTGAAGTGCATGGATTCAGAAGCATTTATCACCAGTTCTGCCTTTCCGGCGTAGATGGAGCTGGAACACCTATGAGTAAATCTCTGTTTCGATGTGCTTTGTTTCAAGTTGCACTTGCTCGTTTTATTTTGGTTGCACTATCAATCTCACAATAACAGCGGTGAGGCTCATGGTGTCCTTCTTTCTAAGTTTCTTTGTTTTGCCGGTTGAAAATGCGGGTGTGATCCTTGCGAAACGCCCCTGGTAAAAATTGTCGATAGGAGCTGCGTTTCAAAATACCATAGGAGTTGTTATAGCCGACTGAAGAAGGCGATTGAAAATCATATAGCTGGCTGTAGAAAGTGGAAAAAATCATTCGACCGGGCTACTCGAAGCGATAAAAAAATATACAGCCGGGCTATAGTTCCTATCCCCGGGCTTTACACTTTATTGCCTGGCTGTTGCTTTTTCGCCATCGGCTATAAAAGGCTATAAGAAATTGAGTAGAAATTATTGTGCTTTGTAAATCTTTAAGTTTGTACGGAATCACCTTAATATTTACAAAACGGGCATTACATTTTCCTCTACTACATATTTTTTTTCATCAATTAAAATGAGAATAATCTATACAGAGTGTGCAAACATTTCAAAGTCATGAGTTGAAAAACGCTGACTCTGCGAGATTAAATATAAGAGCCTAACACAAAGCGGAGCGGCGGCGCACCGGCGCCTACAAACCTAACAGGAATACTTCACGCATTGCGCAATGCGTGAAGTATCCCTGTTAGGTTTGCAGGCGCCAATGCGCGTTCAGCGCTGGCTGCCCGCCCGCCGCGGCGCGCCGCAGCGTACCGCGGCGTTTGAAGCAACTATTTCACACCAGAGGTATTGCACAGTATCATACGAAATTGAAGGCACTCCAACATCTTAGGAATGTCAGGCATCCGTCAAAAGAGCGGAGCTTTCCTCGCAAATTAAATCAAGATACTGCGGCCCAAAAAGAGAGCGGTAGTCCAAAAACTCATTAAGTCCTAGCATCCGTAATTAGTAGCGTTTAGCATACACTTTATAGCCAGGCTGTTGCATAATCGCCATTGGCTATAAAAGGCTATAAGAAATTGTGTTGCCGGCTATAAAAGCTATTGGACATCTTACAGCCGGCTGTAGGTTTATGGTATTTTGGAACACAGATTCCACTGCCAATTTTTACCAGGGGCCCGGGGCTTTTTATTTTGTTTTATGTGTTCTTTTTACTATTTGCGGCCTTTGTCCCGATTTAAGTTGTTTTTTTAAATATTACATATCGACGACTAAAGAACGACATCACGTGTCTTCATCGCGGCGTTTCGAAATCACCACCCACAGTTTATTTTTTCAAAGAGGAACAAGTTAACTTTATAGCTTGAAACTTGTACAGAATATCGACTGTGAAGCTACCAGACCACGTATCTCGGTTTGCAACGTTGTAGACTTCCTGTTACACTTTATTTTTAAAATGAAAAACCACTCAACTTCAGTTCTCGAAACCTTCCGTGACTTTTCCTCTTCGTGCAGAAAAAACTGTGACAATTTCAAGGAATGATATTGATCTGGTCCTCTTCAAAAAAATAAAATTTGAGCAGGAATTTTTACACACTGCATGCGAGATACGTGGTCTTGCACTTTCGCCATCATTATGTCGCAGGCAAATAGTTACGGTGATTCGATGGACGCCATATTTTGTGTCAGAACTACATGCGATATATCGCATCAATTGGTTCCATTTCTTCAGATATTCGTCATTTTTTTCCAATTTTGAGATCGCAATTCTGTTGTCAGGAGACTAAAGCACTCAATTACCAATTTTAACAAATAAATTCAACGTACTAAAGGCGTGTTTTTTTTTAGAGAGAAAACATAGCATTCGATACTGATATCGGAACTGCACTCGAATGCTATATTTTCTCTCTGAAAGTACCAAGCCTTTATTACGTTGAATTTCTTTGTTAAAATTGGTAAGTGAGTGCTTTAGTCTCCTGACAACAGAATTGCGATCTCAAAATTGGAGAAAAATGACGAGTAGCTGAAAAAAAGGAACCAATTGATGAGATATATCGCATGCCGTTCTGACACAAAATATGGCGTCCATCGAATCCCCTTAAATCAGGCATTTTATCAAATTTCTAGGCAGATACTCAAAATTTGAAAGTTATACAGACCTTTCGTATGTTTTTACGAGGAGGTCTCGAATTTTGAACATTTTGAAAGTAAAAACTCATCAAACTACGAACTACTGTTTTACTTTCCTTCTAAAATGCGTCTCACATACTTTTAACAGTCAAAATTGTAAAAAATGCTCTATCTTTTTTAAGGAATGATCAATTTTTGACTGGAAACCATTACAGAAACCATACAATGATGCAAATTTTTCAAAATAATGACTGTTATCTACGAAGAAAAATAATTTTTTTGTCAAAAATTAACAGAAGAGTCAGAATTTTAATCGGAGCGGGAATGTTTGACACTTTGTCTAGGCATTTGACGAAATGTCTGTTTTGATTATTTGCCTGCAACACATACATACTTGTCGCTTTCTTCCCTGGGGCCCTACAAAACATACGCCCAAATTCATAATCTTTTCTTAACCTGCTCCTTTCCTCTGACAGGAAGACGTGGTGCAAAATCGATGGTGAAACTGCAAAATGCGTAGGTTTCTCGGTTTACGGCATTGCAGACTTTCTGTACCTAATACTTCATTTTCGACTGGGAAAACTATTGAATGTCATCTCTTGAAAACTTGGGTGATATTTATTCTCTGTGTGTGAAGAATATTCTGTGAAAAATTCAAACCATGATGTTGGTTTGGTCTCCTACTTTAAAAAAAAAATAAAAAAAAAACCAGAGATTTTGAAACACAATTTGGAAACCGAGCAAGGAAAAGGAAGCGCGTTGACGACGGCGCAGAGATACAACTATTCGTGCTTGATGGATGTCCGTGTTGCATCTGTAAAACTGAAGGCGCGATGTCGCGAGGCGTGAACTGGCAATGCTCCGTTTTTCGTTGCGAAGAAGTAATAAGGCGTCGCTCAAGAGAAAAGTTAAAAAACTCGGTCCGGGTATGTTTCTCTTATCTTCGTCTTTGTTGACAATCAATTTTTTTTTTTTTTTTTTTTTTTTTTTTTTTTTTTTTTAATTTAATTTAATTTAATTTGTCTAGTTCTTTTTTAGGATGCATTTGTAGACCTACATTCAGAATTTCATGTCATATTATCCGTCAATTGATTTTTGAAAGTAATGGATGAGGACGAATTTGATACGTTTATTCACGATTGAATCGCGTGTTTTCAGAATTTAGCCGTCTATATCTCATTTTGCGACGTTGCAAATGTTATTTTGTATTTTATTTTTTCAAAGGAATACTAATGATCATTATTCCACAGAATTTTTTAATTTTTTCAGCCTGTAGGTATTAGAATTCCTCGAAAATTAACGTAAATGAACAATCAGTTCTTTTAATTTTTAAAAAAATACGAATAACAGCAGAGATTTCGGAACGTCGCAATTTAGGAACGCGGTTTTCAGTTTGTATCATAATTGAATAGACAAAAGTTTCATCATTACTCCACACAGAAAAGTGACCTTTGAGTCATTGTTATTGCTTGTCACTGAACCACAAGCTGCAAACATTCTACCGCAGTTTTTCGACTCGGAAAACTGAACTTCCTGTTCTGTCAGCTCATGCGGTCGCTTCTCTCAACTGTAGGCTCAGCCCTCGACTCAGGCTGCGCAACATAACGTGGATATTTTTTACGGGCTCAAACGAAGGAAAGTTATGAAAATCGTCACTATCTGGAAAAAGTTATAAGGGTTGATTATTGAAATTGATAGACAAAGTGATAGACAAAGAGGACATAGGGAACATGTAGCGATCTCATTGGTTGAAACGGGTGGTTATTACTGACTCAGGGGGAAATGATGGACTCCAACAATATGGTTTAGCTTTTAGCGACCTCCCGCTTCCGCTAATAGGATAGCTTTACTATCAGTTTGTCTTTTTTGTCTATCAGTTTCAATAATCAGCTCGCAGCTCAACCGATTCGTGTACCTAACCTAGTATTTTTTCTCTCCGTGTGCATGCACGGAAAAAATGGACTGTTGATGTAACAATATAATTGTTAAAAAATATGTCCAACGTATTTCAAATGTTCATTCCGCAATACTGCCGTGCTAAAGAAGAACGCCGCATGAACCTCTAAGCGTTGACAAGGTTCCTCTGACGAAATATGAACTTATTGGGAAAGATTTAAATATTTTTCTTGCAGTTTTTTAGACAATTTTGTTCGTAATTTCATCTGAAATATCTGAAAATTCCTAGGAAAAGTATGCATAACTTCCCTTAAAAATATTATTTTATCAGGAGAAATTTGGCAACTCTCGAATTTTCATACAGCGTTCTTCCTTAGCACGGTAGAATAGTGGAAAACTAATTTAACCACGGGGTTGGTTAAATTATCATTTTTTTTCTTGTAAAATCCACATAGAAGCACGCCGGACACTTTTTTAACTACAAAATTGTCAAATCAGCAATTTCATTTTTCGCGTGTGAAATTCTCTGATATTACGAAATGAGTACCAACCTACAAATGACGACAGGAGTGACAACCAACAGATGACGATTTTTCTCTTCACCTCACAAAAAATCGCATGACTCTGAACACTAATCGAACGGCACAGAGTCAAAGTCCGCCAAGCTAAAGGCTTCAGTGCACTCTATAAAACTTCATCGCGAATGATTTTCATTTCTCTATTTTCCTCATTCCTTGCCCTCCGCTCGTGCCTAGCCGGTTTCTGCACAGCCACTCACCGAAAATCTAAAAATTCGCCTCGCATAAGAGTTCCATACTTCTCCCATGTACACACTCTGATGCAAGAATTGGAGAAGTGAGTGAAGTTTGCTGTCGTTGATGAGTTATGATTGCACGGAAGATCAGGTGCTCTCGTTCAAGTGATGGGTTCAAGTTGATTCGACTCAGTCGCGGCGAGATAGTGCAAAAATCTAAAGTGCACACTTGAAGTTTTTCACTTTTTTAATTTCGGTTTTCTTCTTCCTTATACTCTCTCTGGCGGCCGCACACTGAAAAATAATTTCGGTTTTAAGAAGAATGCCGCGCCCGTTGAACTTCGATTCAGACCCTATGTAGCACAATGCAAAGAAAAAGTTACATTTTATCGCAAAGTTTGTTAAATTGACCATAACATGCTCAAATTTGTATGCTTTTTAATGGAGATGTTGCATGTGTGAGGGATTTGCGATTGGACCATTGATTCTTATGTAAAAGTTCGCGAGAAACACGATGGTGCCACTGGTTTTCTCTGAAATCATCTCCCAAGCTCAAAAAAAGCTCTCAAAGTGAGGCCAGAATGGAGGGGATATCCCGCCCTACCCTAAGAGTCCACCTCTACATCAAAACAAACTCTCCATGCAAAGATAGGGAGTAAATACATTAGCAGGGTTGCCACTTTATTTTGGGACTCCAAAACTGAAAACACGGCATCACTGCTAATGTACTTGCTCTCTATCTTTGCATGGAGAGTTTTTTTTTATGTTGAGGTGGACTCTCAGGGTAGGGTGGGATATCCCCTCTATTTTGGCCTCACGTTGAGAGCTTTTTTTGAGCTTGGGAGATGATTTCAGAGAAAACCAGTGGCACCATCGTGTTTCTTGCGAACTTATACATGAGAATCAACGGTCAAATAGCAAATCCCTCACACATGCAACATCTCCATTCGCACTCTGTCCAGTGGTCCATCACAGCGCTTGAACGCAACCGTTCGTGGTCTTGAGTTGTCCGTGCTGCCTAGTCCAAAAAATGAAGGCGCTACCGGCCAGTATCTCACCTCTCGCCCTCGAGGTTGAAGATATTCCGGTTGAGGGGGTCCAGGTCCTCGTGGATACGGATGCCCCTATCATAGCAGGGTTGCCGTGTTTTCAGTTTTGGAGTCCCCAAATGAAGTGGCAGCCCTTTCAATGTATTTGCTCCCTGTCTTTGCATGGAGAGTTTGTCTTAATGTAGAGGTGGTTTTTGTGATCGCCCTGATCACCGTGGAACTAAATCGGTTCTGAAACAATGGACTGTTCAACTGCAGGGGACGCCCGTAAGACAGTGACATTTCAACTGCAGGGGACGCCCATAAGACAGTGACATTTCAACTGCACGGGACGCCCGTAAGACAGTGACATTGTATGCATATAGCAGCACAAAATTGCATAATCTCTTATATAAAGTTATACGATTTACCCCGCGACCCCCAGAACATCGGTCCCCGCCACGCCGTCCCAGCGCGTCCCGCGCCCTTGATGTTCGTTCGGCGGACCCCTCGCGGCCGGGTCTCCGTTCCCCCCGCGGGTTTTCCCGTTCCCACCCCCAGGGGGGTTGCTACGGGCCCCGGGGGTGGTTCCGTTTTTCGCCCGTCCCTCGGCCTGGCGCGC